AAAATCTGCCAGAGAGCCATCAATTTCGCTTTCCGTTTCGTTAAAACTTTTAAATGCGCTTAAGGTAATCTTTCGCGATTCATCTGTGTGGATGACTCTGTTTGGCGATATTGCTGCCGTTCGTTGATTTTCAGCTAAACATAGTTGTAGTTCTTGCTATTCCCTGGTGTTCGCATTTTCAGTCACATTGTTAATCACCTGCATGATGATTTCGGGAGAGGAGTTAGGCCCGAACATTGCCAGTTGTTCCCTGATCTCCCTATTAATCTCTGTTTCATTTTCCTGAACAGTCGGGGTTGCCGCAGCCAAGTTCTCTCGGTCTAGCTCCATCAGTTCACTGATTTTGACCCGCATGGCTTTGTTGCTGGCAGTACCTCCACGAACTCCCAATAGTTCCTTCAACGTGCTGCGCTTAAGCTGTGTGTACCAGCCTTCCATTCACTTTACACCAGTGCCCACCTTGGATTCTTAATTCAGGAAAAAGAGATGATCCCGCCGCTGCCAACCAGTTGTGACGGTCTGAGTAGGTATCACCGTCTTGCATACCCTTTTCCCATAACATAATACGCCAATAATCCACAGGTTCCAATATCGCTGGTGTCGCATAATAAACCACACATGAGCCAAAGCTTAATGCTGGCACAAGACTGGTTTAATGAGAACAGACATTCAATTTATACAGTGCATAACTCCTTCTCTGAGCCAGCAAGATAATTGAGTTTAGAGAACATACTAAACTCAATTATCTTATGGTCAGAAAAAGTTAAATTTTTCAAAATTTTGGGAAATACCCCAAAATCACATCCCTGGGTAGCTTGTCTCTGTGGGAGCAACATATTCAAAATTCAGCCAAATCCGTTCAGTAACTACAGAGAGAGTTGACCGGTCTGCCACGAGGTTGAAGCCGGGAAACCGTTCCAGAGGAAATGTAGCAAGAGCCGGTCTCTGTTCGTGAGGTTTTATACGAAAACCGCAATAGGTGAAATCTATCTGGTTCGTGAAGAATGCTCCTTTTGTTTCGTAGTTTGAAACTCCCGAACTCTTTTCGTCTGAGATGCTTGGAAGGAGAACGTAGCAGAGTTCCATAGAGACCGGTGCGAGTGCGTTGCTGAAAACAGTTCCAGGCACTCGACGACCAAGTCCTGCAGGCAGCGTTTGGGAGACAAGATGGCCGCCACCCATTGTTCTCACCATGTGTATTTGAAAGCACAAAATAGCGGCCACCTAGGAGCATTTTTGATTAGTCTGCGGTTTTCGTATGGATACATGTTTTTTTTAGTTGTAATTAGTCTCTGGGGTGGTCTCGGTTCAGGAACCAAGCAAATTAACAAATGGAACAACAAAAAGAACAAATGACTAGGGAAGGTTGATAGAAGGGAGTACAATTAGCCGAATGGTGATGGGGTTATCCCTTCTGGCTCTGCATTGTTATCTTAGACTATTTTTTCTGTTTGTTCGCCAGTCCCCGGTTGTTTGTGTGTTCCCTGATTACACTCCCTAAAAGACGAATGAACTACTGAATGGCGGGCCACCCAGCAGGGAAGTGTGCTGCTCGTTAACCTTTTTGACCTTAACATTGTGGTTAACCGCAGCCACTTCCAACTCCCGAATGATCGACTGGGTTGTCGTCATTCGTATGAACGAACACGTGGCATTCGCCATCTTGGATAGTCGAACGCCCAGCGGTGTTTCTTCGACAACTACATGGAGCTAATTTTGGACACTGTTTCCCACAAACACCGCTGAGATCACCAAACATCCATCTCTTCGTTCTAGTTCATACGAACGCCGTGTCGTTCGGTATATTGACAATCTACGAACGTAACTGTATGTATGGGATCTGAGCGCTGTTCGGTTATATTGAGCGCTCAGATCCAAGCTATCTGGGGATATGTCAAACGTGGGGGTTCCGTTCGGTAAAATAAGGCTTATGTATTTTTATATGTTTTTCTGTTATTGTAAAATAGGTGATATTCTCTATACATGGAGATAATTGAGTTACTTCATGGCTCTTAACCCAATTATCTCCAGGATAGAGAGGAGCAGTTGCACTGTTTGTGTGGGAGTGTTTGTATACTGTAAATGCATATGATTGGTCACTGTAAAAATGTCTGTCTTCCACAAGGTCCCTATGGAAGTGTCCCTTGCTGGAAGACCTGCATAAAAGGCTAACATGTGGCCACCATTAAACAGATCCTGCTTAACTCTCAATACAGAGCCTCATCTCGTGCTTTGTGGGATAATTTGTATGATTCCTGTTCAGCGCTTAGGAGTGCTCGGTAGCTGACTTTGCATTCGGGAAAAAGAACAGCTTTGGCAGCGTTAACCCCTTCTCATACCTGGGGTGCCTTCACACTTTCACATAAAGCTTTGTATTCCTGGCACTTATTGTATCCCTTTAAAGGATCACTATAGGGTCAGGAACGCAAACATGTATTCCTGACCCTATAGGGTTAAAACCACCATCTAGCCCCCCCGGGCCCCTCATGCCTCCCTAAAAATAGCAAAATCATACTGTATTCAAGCCTGAAGCTGTAACTCTGCATGCTGTTAAACTCAGAAAAACAAGCAGTCTGATAACATCAGAAGAGGTGGCCTGATCCAATCACAATGCTTCCCCATAGGATTGGCTGAGACTGACAAGAAGGCAGATCAGGGGCAGAGCCAACATGATTCAAACACAGCCCTGGTCAATCAGCATCTCCTCATAGAGATGAATTGAATCAATGAATGAGAAAAGTTCAGTGTCTGCATGCAGAGGGAGGAGATATTGAATGTTTGGATGCATTTTAGGCAGCCATGACCAAGGAAGGATATCTAACAGCCATCTGAAGAGTGGCCAGTGAAGTTATCACTAGGCTGTAATGTAAACACTGCATTTTCTCTGAAAAGACAGTGTTTACAGCAAAAAGCCTGACGGTAATGATTCTACTCACCAGAACAAATTCAATAAGCTGTAGTTGTTCTGGTGACTATAGTGTCCCTTTAAATCACTTTTGTTTCTGTTTATGCAGCCCTAGTCACACCTCCCATTGCTGTGAATGAAACATCCTGCATGAAACAAAATGGTTTAATTTTCATTCATTTGCTTTAGAAATATTTATCTCTTTAAATTGAACTCTCATCACACACAGGAGACTCCTGCAGGTAAGCTATTAACAGAGCAGGATATAAAATTATAAATTAAACAGAAGGTGCGATAAAGGAAGTGTAAACATTAGATGTCACTTTACAGGACATGTTTAGGAAAGCTGTGTAAGTCACATACAGGAAGGTATGACCAGGGCTGTATAAACAAAGTGATTTAACTCCTAAATGGCAGAGTATTGAGCAGTGAGACTGCAGGGACATGATCTTTACACCAAAACTTAATTAAATAGTTACTCCATCCTCTTTGAGGAGGGGGGACCTTTTCAGTGTAATATGTTCTTTTGGGCACTACAAACTTTGCAAAAACAAACATTTTACTCACCAGGAATCCAGCACAGAGCGAAGCTTCTCCATCTGACATCATATGGGCCACGTGCGGTCCAATCACAGGGTTCTCTGAGTGCAGTCGGAGCCGAGGAGGGTGGGAGGGTTAATTTAATAAATATATTTTAAAAATATATATAATATTTATATGCATTTAAAATAAAGCAATACAAAAGGAGGGAGTCGAGAGACCCACATCTGTCGCCAGCATGCTAACAGACGCAAAATACTGACATTAGGCAGCACGGGACAGAGTTCTGGACTGCCAGTATCACATGTGCTGGGGGTGCAACTAGCCTCGAGCACATAAATAAAATAAACTCTGTATAAAACACTGCACTTACTGACCACCATGGCCACTTCAAAGCACTGAAGTAGTTGGACTAAACCTTTAAGCTTAAGTGGTTTTGGTTTAAATGGAACTCCGCTGTGTGCAGGACCACTTGTTTTCACTATTCCTTGAGCGTGGGTGTATTCTCTTTATTGTCATAAGATTTAGACATAATATGTAGATCAATAATTAAGCATTTGTGTCTGTATGTTTTTCACTTTGTTTACAGGTCACGCAGTCATCTGTCTGAATTTCAACCCTCCCTACTACAATGAGTAAAGCCTCGTCTGGCCCAAAAGCTGGGCGAGAAGGCACAACTCAGGTAAGGTGACGTTAATGTATTCTATGAAATCTCGCTGAAGGCTATGACATAGACTGGGGATATGAATCCAACTGCAGGGTGACACAGACAGAAGGGAGCAATGAGATACGAAGTCTGTCCCTCCCACTGCAGGGTGACACAGACAGAAGGGAGCTATGGGACATGTAGTCTGTCTCTCCCACTGCAGGGTGACACAGACAGAAGGAGCTATGGGATACGGAGTCTGTCCCTCCCACTGCAGGGTGACACGGACAGAAGGAGCTATGGGACACAGAGTCTGTCCCTCCCACTGCAGGGTGACACAGACAGAAGGAGCTATGGGACACAGAGTCTGTCCCTCCCACTGCAGGGTGACACAGACAGAAGGAGCTATGGGACACGGAGTCTGTCCCTCCCACTGCAGGGTGACACAGACAGAAGGAGCTATGGGACACAGAGTCTGTCCCTCCCACTGCAGGGTGACACAGACAGAAGGAGCTATGGGACACGGAGTCTGTCCCTCCCACTGCAGGGTGACACAGACAGAAGGAGCTATGGGACACGGAGTCTGTCCCTCCCACTGCAGGGTGACACAGACAGAAGGAGCTATGGGACACGGAGTCTGTCCCTCCCACTGCAGGGTGACACAGACAGTAGGAGCTATGGGACACAGAGTCTGTCCCTCCCACTGCAGGGTGACACAGTCAGTCAGATAGTAGTAATAATATTAATAACCATAAAAGCAGTAATAATATGTGATAAGGAAAGCAGCAGTAATAATATTATAGCAGTAATATTAATAGCAGTAATAGTAATAATAATAACAGTAATAATGATATGGTGTGAGGGGATTTCAGCTAGGCCCAAAATTAAGTAGGCCTAAAATCTCCACATGGCATTTAGAAGTACAGGTATCTGTTGTATCTGTTAGTTACATGTAGCTAAGATACCGTCATTAATGTACTGAGCATGTGCAAGAACTGAAACCACATTCCATTCTCCTAAAAGGGCCGTTGCCTGTCCATATAAGGTGATCCTGTGTATCCTGTTTGCAGATTGGTGTAAGGGTACAGATGGGGGATGCATAGCTTATAAAAAGCCTCTACTCCATGTGCTCAGGGATCAGACATTTTGAACAGGAGTTCAGCTGAGACCTGATCAATGAGAATAAAGACCTTTACTTCCTGAAAAGACCTGTGTCCGGGACTCTCTGTGCGTGGCTTCCTCAGTGTTTCCCTGCAACAGTGGGATAAGGATGTTGTGGATCAAACCAAGTGTTCAATTATTTGAATATCTGCCCCTGTCCAAATTATTAAAAATAATTGCGTGCACGCTCTGAAGTAAATCACACCATACACAAGTTTGCAGGTTAATGAAAATCTTCGTAATCTTTACTTAGGAGCCCCTTATAAAGACAAGAATACATCATATGCAAAACTGTAGATAACAGTAAGAATACATCTTTAATTGGTTGTGTTTTATCTAATGTACATCCTAAAAGGCGTGATGTCACCATCTTCCCGGGATTTTACTCCGGATACAGGCGCCATCTTGTTACACGAGGTAGTTAGTCGATGGGAGGGGTTGCTCTAGCCGCCATTTTGAGTAAATATTGAATACAGGTATATAGAGTAAATAGACACTGTTTTTTTTTGACACTGTTGCACATAGAAGGCTTATCAATAAACTGGAATCTTTAAAGGGAAACTATAGTGCCAGGAAAACAAACTCGTTTTCCTGGCACTATAGCTTCCCCGTCTGTCAAGGCCTATTATTCAATGCTTTCCTATGGGGATTCCATTGGCACTGGAAGTCCTCATGCATTATGTGAGGACATCCAGCGTAGTTTAGGTGACAACAGTCGCCTATCCACCCAGAAGTCCCTCTGGTGGCTGTCTGGTAGACAGCCACTAGAGGAGGAGTAAACCATTGCAGGTAATTATTGCAGTTTTTCCAAACTGCAATAATTACATCTCAGGGTTAAGGGTGATGGGAGCTTGCACCCAGACCACTTGAATGGGCTGAAGTGGTCTGGATGCCTACAGTGCCCCTTTAAGTTTGGATTCCAATATTGTTGAATGGGTAAGGCAGTTGAGAGGCAACAGAGGGTTGTAGTCAATGGAGTATATTCAAAGCTTGGGCTCGTCACCAGTGGGGTACCTCAGGGATCTGTACTTGGACCCATTCTCTTTAATATTTTTATTAGTGATATTGCAGAAGGTCTTGATGGTAAGGTATGTCTTTTTGCTGATGATACCAAGATATGTAACAGGGTTGATGTTCCAGGAGGGATAAGCCAAATGACAAATGATTTAGGTAAACTAGAAAAATGGTCAGAATTGTGGCAACTGACATTTAATGTGGATAAGTGCAAGATAATGCATCTTGGACGTAAAAACCCAAGGGCAGAGTACAGAATATTTGATAGAGTCCTAACCTCAACATCTGAGGAAAGGGATTTAGGGGTGATTATTTCTGATGACTTAAAGGTAGGCAGACAATGTAATAGAGCAGCAGGAAATGCTAGCAGAATGCTTGGTTGTATAGGGAGAGGTATTAGCAGTAGAAAGAGGGAAGTGCTCATGCCACTGTACAGAACACTGGTGAGACCTCACTTGGTGTATTGTATGCAGTACTGGAGACCGTATCTTCAGAAGGATATTGATACCTTAGAGAGAGTTCAGAGAAGGGCTACTAAACTGGTTCATGGATTGCAGGATACAACTTACCAGGAAAGATTAAAGGATCTTAGCATGTATAGCTTGGAGGAAAGACGAGACAGGTGGGATATGATAGAAACATTTAAATGCATAAATCAACACAGTAATAGAGGAGACTATATTAAAAAGAAAAACGACCACAACAAGAGGACTTTACTGAGAGAGTAGTGGATGCATGAAATAGCCTTCGAGCTGAAGTGAGGGAGTTTAAGCATGAGTGTGATAGGCATAAGGCCAGGGACTTATTGAAGTATTTTGAAATATTGGGCAGACTAGATGGGCAGAATGGTTCTTATCTTCCGTCACATTCTATGTTTGTATATTATAACAGTAATAATAGTAGCAGTAATAATAATAGCAGGAATAATGACATGGGATAAAGAAACCAGCAGTTATAATATTATAATAGAAGTAATGATAACATGGAATAAGAAAAGCAGTAATAATAATGTCTAATGTTTTATAAACACTTATCTGTCTATATCTCTTACAGTCCATGCATAGAACATCCAAGTCTCGTGCAGAGAAGTCCCGTATGACAGCAGTACCCGTGCAGCCCCCAGTTACCGTGGAGATAGTGCCAGGTCGTCTCACGGAGGAGGACTGGGTATCTGTGGTTACTGGGCAAGATGGAGAAAAATGTGTGTTAGAGATTCTGGACTCTGTACTGACACGTGTGATGGACCAGTGCCACAAGGTTTACCTGGGTCGGCAGGTAAATGGCATCTTCATGGGCAAGATATGAACATGTCCCTTGTTCTGAACTGTTATGTCTCTGCTCCGATGTTCTTTGTTACTGATACTTTCCTCTATAGCGCTGGCAGAATCGTCCAGAAGCTGGCATTTCTCCCTGTGTGGGGCTGCTTCATAACCATTAGTGTTTATGGTGTATAAATAGCCCACTAATATGCCATTAATTGTCATTCGTTTCAGATGATTCCGTACACCATTAGCCAAGCCAAAAATGCAATGATACAGATTGTTGAATGGACATTTGTTCCTAGAGATGAAGGAGAAAACAACCTGGAAATGGATATAACTTGGCAAGACCACCAAGAACCCCATCCTTCTCCTAGTGAATCATGGGCACAGGGATGTGTACCAGTCAGTCAAATACCACCACCCCCTCGCTCCAGTGATAAACAGGTAACAATTATGAGATATTCCCAAAAATGTTTGAGTCATACTACTGATAGTCCTCCTCTGTGAGCAGACCTGACACTTATATATCCCACCATCCCAAATCAGTCTAATACTGACTGTGTCCACCTGTGCTCTCACACCGTCCCAAATTAGCTTTCTGCTGACTGTATCCTCCTACAATCTCTTCCACTATCCCAAAAGCAGCCTACTACTGATTGTGTCATCCTGTAATCCCTCCATCCATCCCAAATCAGCTTCCTGCTGGTTGTATCCACCTACAATCTCTTCCACTATCCCAAAATCAGCCTACTACTGATTGTGTCATCCTGTAATCCCTCCATCCATCCCAAATCAGCTTCCTGCTGGCTGTATCCACCTACAATCTCTTCCACTATCCCAAAATCAGCCTACTACTGATTGTGTCATCCATCCCAAATCAGCTTCCTGCTGGCTGTATCCACCTACAACCTCTTCCACTATCCCAAAATCAGCCTACTACTGACTGTCTCCACCAATAAGCCCTTCCATTATGCCAAATTGGCATTACTTTTACTTTCACCACCATTAATTCGTCTCACTATCCCAAATCAGCCATGCTCAGGCTATCTCCACCAATAATATCTCCCTCCAGTCCAGTTTAGTATTATACACCGTGATTCTATCCATTTTAGCATTATATACAGTTATTTGGTCCAGTTTAGTCTTACACTGATGAGCCACAACATTAAAACCACCTGTGTAATATTGTATAGGTCTCCCTTGTGCTGCCAAAACCGCAAAATGATGCATCAAGGCATGGACTCCACAAGACCTCGGTACATGTCCTGTGGTATCTGGCACCAAGACATTCACAGTAGGTCCATAAAGTCCTGCAAGTTACAATTTGGGGCCTCCATTGATCAGATTTGTTTTTTCAGCACATCCCACAGATGCTCAATTTGATTGAGAACTGGAGAATTTGTATTAAATTAGTTTTTATTAATCCAACCATTGCATGCAACACATGGTTCCCTTCTCAAAGGAGAAATGACATGTAAAGCAGTACCATCTTTTAAGAACAAGTAACTGATACAAAGTATCCCATAATTGGTGAGTTGTAATGGGTGTATGAATCACCATGCTAATCCATCAACATTAAACATATCCCAAGTAAGGAATAAACAGACATGCAGTGTTACATGCAGTTTCACCGGCGGAAGGTCGCCGGCTCCATAGGTCGAAGGTTCTTCCGGCAATTTCTCCATTACAGGGCCAACCACCTTCCATGACCTACAGATGTGAATGAGTGTTCCTCGTTCTTCCCTACAGCGCCAACAGAAATCTGGCACAGTTGGGTCATGCCTGTGTGAAGCAGTTGGGGTCAGTTACCATCTTGAGAGGATTGTGTACGAATTTTCCTGCACACGTGCTAACAACAGTGATTTTTCTTAAATTAAAACAAGCATCTTGTCCCATTCCGTCTCTGTAAACATCTGCTGGAGGTCTTCCTCCCAGTTCCGATATACACGGAGGTGGTAACAAGTAGCAATTCGCCCCCAGCACATTATAGATTGCTGAGATGCTTTTGGGAGCCATTGAGTCTTTCAAGCACATATTCTCAAAACCGGTCACATGGTTTCAGTGGTATTGATGAAATGCATCGGGCAATCTGCATCATTGCCATTGAGTGGAGTAGCGTGTGATTCGTATCAGGTAAGAGTTCTGCCACCGATTGAACTTCTCCCCCCTGCCCCAGTATGTCTCTCACTCGGGGATGGAAATTCCAACAATTTCCCACTGGTGCTCTGTATGCTGGTCGGGAAGTCATGGTTGCCTTTCAATGGGAGCAGTGGGCTCGGTTCTGTAGTCAGATAATGCTTGAGACCATATCGGTGCCAGAGGGTCAGTCGTTTTCACAAATGGCTTGGGGGCTGCTGCCCGGCTTCCCTCCTCTCTTTAATACATCGGATCAAAGATCCAAGTGTATGCTGTCTGATTCTAGCTGAATCCATTTCCACTACGTTAATCGTCTAGCTGAGGATCACCTAGACTGGGTACCTCCGTTGACGTATACTCCTAGTGCTTTCCGAGGGCTCCTAGTGCTTTCCGAGGGCTCCAAGCACTCCACTTGACACCATAAGCACTCCAGACCCCACGAACCGCCGCAGCTTGGTTGGGGTCTCGCTCTCTCCTACCCATCCTGGACCTACGACAAGGTCCCAGGTTCCAGTGGGTGAACCTCTCTTTCCCCAGAGAGTGAAGCAAGAACAGGAGCAAACTCTAACAAGAGCTTAGTGATTATTCAAGGGAGTATGAAGAGCATAGCAATCCCTTGTAGCAGATTCCCCCCAATAAGAGACAGGACTCTAGATTGAGGTGAAGTAGAACTGAAGGTTTATTGCCACAGCCTGGAATATATACAGTTTTTCAGACCAGAGGCATACCCCCTGAACCTGATGGAAAACAGGGACAAATGGAACATAAACCAATGGGAACAATAATTAGCACTGTAACATTCCCACATACAGTCAGCAATCCCTCCCCTCTGCCTGTGATATAATTAAGGTAGCTAATGTACTAACTTAATTATCCACAGGCAGAAAACACACATTTTTACCCAAAGTACAGAAACACCCCAAAACTCCAACATATCCCCATAAATTATCCCTGGATAGCCCTGATATGGGTGAACAACATATCCAAAAATCACCCAGATCAGAGCAGGGGTTCAGGAAATTCCTGAAAGTCTCTTTTGACCGACCGCACGCACGCACATTTTCATGCCCAAAACAGTTCCAGAGAATTAGGCTGTGCGGCCGGTCTATTTTCAGTGTCTAAGTTCACTTCGATGGCACCCGTTCGTGCACATCGTCAATGTCATAGTGCCGTTCGAATTGTCAAATGCTGTTCGACTCCTGTCGAAGTTCCGGAGAAGGTAAAGTTCAGCAGTGTTCGTGCCGTCACATGTCCGATTTGAGTTCCATGAACTCGATGACAAAACACCACTGAACATGTTCGACTAAACGAACGGCGACCACCTAGCCGTTCGTCAATTTGCTCCCAGCCTGGGAGGTATATTGGCTGCACACTCCACTTGTGTGTGGTCCGGCTGTTCGGTAGTTCGAAGTTCCACTTAGACCACTTTGAAAGTTTAAAGGGGCATTGTGCTAAGTCCCAATATGCACATAGTGTTTTTAAAAGGCAATACACCCCAGGGGCCATAGTCACAGGACAAGAGGCTGCCAAAAACCAGTGACGAGGTCACTATCTCCATAGGTCCGCTAAGTAGTATTTTTCAGTTTCAAGCAGGGCTAGTCCACATCGAAGGTTGGGAAGAGTCAGTTGGGAGTGTGCACTTGCGGTGATCTACCATTCCAGATGGACTTCTTGATATTAAATTTTGACCATCTTAAAGAAGGTTTGTGAAAACATAATGGGCACCATTTAATACACATAAAAATTTAGGCAGTAGTAATTTTTACTGCGTTTACGTGGCCTAGCCAAGATATATAATAGGTGTTTGCCATGGACCCAGGGTTGCAGGATAGGGGTTCTTCTTGCTTGGGTAGGAATTTTACAAGGCCATTTGTTGTTTCATGTTGTTTGAATTATATGGATAAAATGGAGCTGAGTTTTGGTGGGGCTGAGAATTGTTTACAGCAAGAAAAACAAAGGAAGAGGAAACGTGTACTGTTAATTACCCTATTGTATGTAAATGACCCAATGTGGGAATAACTACCTCTGCACAGATGCAATAAAGTCAGTTCGGTTTAACCCCTACATGTAGTCTCGACTCATGGTATGCAGTAATCATTTGCTATATTTAACCTCCAAATGCTGCTCAGATCCTGAGCACTCCTAATGGAACCAAATACTTCGGCTCAGCAAAGTGATATTGGATGGTCCAAAAATAGCATAGGAAGCCGAGAAGTAACGGAGGTAATCAGCCGGAGGAAAGGGGAAGTGAGGGCAGAGTATTGAATTGGGGGAACAAGGAAGGGAGGGCAGTGTATTGAATTGTTTGAGGGGGAGGGAAGGCAGTGTATTGAATTGGGGGAGCAGGGAAGGAAGGGGTGTGACGGAACGCTGTCACTGCGTACCATCCCACATGCTTGCCTGCTTATGGGGTTCAGGTTAGGGCTTTTTCTATTATTTATTTTATTTATAAATGTTTTTCTTTTCTTTTATATATATCAAATATACAATAGTTATACAAATTATACAAATTTCAATATTACAACATTAATATTACTACATTAATATATATTCATTTGATTATCCATAACATTATATATAGTTCACAACAGAGAAAAAAACAAACAAAAAAAAACACTCATATATGAAACTCGGTATGGGATGGGTCCCAAACTAACAATTCGTTATTATATAGGAAATTTGGAAGTCCAGGGTAGCCATAGCTCTCTTAAATCTTTAGTTGAAGATTCCATCTTATATTGGAACCTTATTTGATCCATTATTTCTTGCCAAAGTGGTGGATTAGGAGATTTCCATGCTCTAGCAATATTGATTTTTATTGCAAAGAATATGTGTGTCATAATATATTTTTGTTGTTTATCAGATGTTTTATAATCCATGTTAAACAAAAACATTTCGGGACTAATTACAACAATCTCCTTAAAGATACTTTTCATTAAGCCTAACATTTGTGTCTTGATATTATTCAGACCCGTACAAGCCCACCATATATGGAGCATGGTACCCTCTTCTCTTCTACATCTCCAACATTCTTTTGAGTAAAATGGAGATATTTTATGGAGTCTAACCGGGACCATATACCACCTATAGATGATCTTTAAGTGTGTTTCGAGTAAGGATATATTATGTATACTTTGTTTTACTAACATTGTAGCATTTGTCCAATCTATCAGTGGGAGGGATTTCCCCATATCCCTCTCCCATTTACCAAATGGAGGCACATCAATAACATTGTCTAGTGTATCAAACAGTTTATTAAATCTAGAGATTCCTCCCTTTTTTTGACTACAAGTAATATAAGGTTCAAGATAGTGATCTTTAATCAATATTTTAGTTAAAAGAAAATTCTTGATCCTTAAGTATTCAAATATTTCCCTAGGTAAAAATTTATATTTAGATTGTAGTTGTGTAAATGTCGCCAGTTTAGATCCCTCATATAGATTTCCAATTTTTTTTATTCCAAAATGTATCCATATTTTGATATTTATATCTGACATAGCATAGTGAAGTATTTCTATAGGTGTATTAGATAATAATTTTCCTTTAAGGTCCAACTTAGTGTTCAAATATTTTGCAAAATCCACCATATCTCTTATGATTTTATTAGAAAATTGCTCCGTATCCAAAACCCCCAGATTCAGAAGTCCTAGCCACCCTAGGATGTATAGCTTTTGCCCTGGTTCTGATTTCTGTTCAATTTTAATCCAAGATTTAGATATATTTTGATCCAAATTTAACCATATCATAAGTTGAGAAGACCTATTTGCCTCATACATCTTGATCACATCAGGAAATGCTATAGCCCCTTTCCGGTAACTTCTACATAAAATCTCCGTCGCTATTCTGGGTGGTTTATCACGCCATATATAGCTAGAGAATAAACTTTGGAAGCGCTTCAAAGTGCCCCGTTCAATATTATATGGAATCATCCTAAAAAAATATAGGAGTTTTGGCATTAAATACGATTTAATAATATTAACTCTTCCTATCCAAGATGGTTCTAATCTCTTCAATTTATGTATCTGAGATTGTAAATCTTTATATAAATTGTCAAAGTTTATCAGAATTGTCTTTATAGTATTAAATGTTATCTTTATACCTAGATAATCAATTTTATCTTTTATACATTCTATATGAAAGTGGGAGTACAAAATTTCTAACTGTGTCTTAGACAATAAAAATGGAAGGACTTGAGATTTATTAATATTGACCTTATAGTTAGAGAATTTACTATATATAGAGATGTCTTCTAGTAACGGTGGAATTGATAATAGGGGTTCAGCGAGAGTAAGTAGGACATCATCTGCAAACAGAGATATCTTAATATAGTCCTCTTGAAAATCTATTCCTTTTATCTTTTCATTCTGTCTTATCATCGTAGCCAACGGTTCGATTGTAAGAATATATAGGAGTGGAGCTAACGGGCAACCCTGCCTAGTTCCATTCTTGATATCGAAGGGATCAGAGTCAAAATAGGGGCTGCTAATTCTTGCCGAGGAGTTTCTATATAAAGATAAAGTTTTATTTCTAAATGCTCCATCCAGTCCGAAATGGCCCATGACAGAGTCCAGGAATCTCCAATTGACTCTGTCAAAGGCCTTCTCGGCATCTAAAGCAATAATAACAGCTTCCCTTTGTTGTCCGCTCACTCTATTTATTATATTAAAGATCCTCCTTGTATTATCAGAGGTACTTCTTCCTTTCACAAATCCTGACTGGTCCCAATTAATCAAGTCTCCCAATACTTCTTTTAAACGATTAGCCAATATAGCCGAGAATATTTTAATATCAATATTTATTAGTGATATTGGTCTATAGTTAGCAATTATTGTATTATCCTTATCTGGCTTAGGAATCGGAATAATTGTTGCTAACATCACCTCTTTTGGAAATGGAACATCACTAGATATTAACGAGTACATCTCTAAGAGAATTGGAGTAATTACTTTCATATATATTTTATAAAAATAGCAGAGACTCCATCCGGGCCTGGGACCTTATTTGGTTTTAATTTCTCTATCGCTTCTTCAATTTCCAATTCTCTAAAAGGAGCATTTATATATTCTAGTTTCTCTAGGCTTAACTTAGGAAGTCTGAGGTTCTTGAGAAATCTGTCAATTTCACCATTACTTGCCTTGACCTCCTCTAAATTATATAACGAACTATAAAATGTTGCAAAAGCCTCTGCTATATCTTTAGGTAAATTTAAAACCTTTCCTCCTTTTGTCATCAGTTTTTTTATAGATTTATCTTTATGTTGGTTCTTAATTTTATTAGAGAGATCCCTATTTATTTTATTATTATTATGGTACCATCTTTGTTTAAGGAAGGATAGATTTTTACTAATCTCCTCATATATTTTATCCTTAATAATTAGCTTTATATTATTAATTTCCTCTATTAATTCCCTAGTTATTGATATTTTATTTAGTCGTTCCATTTTCGATAATTTAATACTCAGGACATGTAATGATTGTTACGGTACCTCCAGTAGTAAAATGTACAAACCGCCGTTTAGCGAGTATTCCCCGTTCGCAATAATGTGGTCGGGTAGCGAGTATAATAAAACCATGCGAACCGCCAGCCAGGAAACACTCCAAACACCCGAACGGTACCTGTACGGCTGATTCCCTTCTCGAGCTGCAAATCCACGAACGGCAAATAGTAACCGAACGTCAATAACTCCCAAGCGGCAAATAATCCAAATAAGAAGTCGCTAGTCGCTGGTAACCAAATCCCCCCAATAACGAGACCAAGCTCCGCTTTGAGGGTAAAACACGAACTGATTTACTGTGGGCTACCTGCCCGGTATTTATGCAGGTCTCCCACTTGGTGGACACTCCCCTAGGGGACCAAATGGGAGACTGAAATTACAGAGGGACATGGGGACATTTTGGACATACATCCCCACAATATTCCCAGCATGCAGTACAGTTCCCTCCCCTCTGCTCGGAGGATAATTGGGAAGTAACTCAATTATCTCCCCGAGCAGAGGCAATCGCCATTTTAAACACAAGTCACAAAAACACATGAAAATCCATAACTTCATAACATAACTGCCGAACATATTACATTCGTATTACGTATCCCCAGATAGCCTGGATCTGAGTGCACATTATTGGAGAATAGCGCTCAGATCCCATTCGCATAGTTCAATCGCCATGGAGTCAAAGTCTCTTTCAGTTCCTTAGTATGCGATTGACTCCATGGGACGGCTATCTGGGTTAAGTCCATTCGTGTGGTTGAATCTCCCGAACGGCTGGCATTTGTATACTTTTGTCGATTGAGAAGGGGAGGTCGACGGCTTCAGCGGTGTTCGGCTGAAAAAGTGTCCGTTTTCAGATCCATGAAATAATCGTCTAACACCGCTGGTCTTTCGCATGGACAAAATGGCCGCCGCCTCGTGGTCGACATACGAACGACGACCACCCGGCATTCGGTTTTAATTGAGAAGTGTCTGTGGTTAACCGCAACGTTCTAATTGGGATCAATAGGTTAACCAGCAGCACACTACTCTTCTGGGTGGCCGTCCGTTCGGTAGTTCCGTTCGACAAAACCGACATTCCCTTGAATAAAGCATACGAATGGGGAAATTCATGTAACCGGCAAAACAGGCGAACAAAGCATTTGTAATCCAGACAGATGGGTCTGTCACAATGATTCACCTTTCTTTCGTTTATTTTCAGAACCGAACTTTATTAATAGTCCTCTTGTAAAACTTTTTAGGGTACACCATACAATTGGTGTTGCAACTTCTCCGTTATAGTTAGTTTTTAAGAAGTTTTCTATTTCTATTTCTATTTGGTCCTTGATATAGTCAAGTTTCAAAAGGCTTTCATTAAGCCTCCATTTAGTCCTTGGAGTATTACCTTCTTTTATCCTAATTCTCAAAGAGACTGGGGCATGATCCGAAATTTCTATAGAGCCAATTATAGATTTTATGATGTTATTTAAAAGACCCTCTTTCACAAAAAACATATCAATACGAGAATAAGTTTGATGTACATGCGAAAAAAATGTATAGTCTCTTTCCTGAGGATTCATAGTTCACCAGCAGTCAAACAGGGAATTTTTAGCTAAAAAATCAGATAAGCCAAATAATCCTATATTGCAAGGGTTACCATTCTCAGAATATTTATGACTTCTATCTTTAGTTAGGTCAACAACACTATTAAAATCTCCTCCTATTATAATACTACCACAGGCAACTTCATCTACAATATCCATAATTTGATCTAACAGATCTGACGGGTTGTAATTCGGAGCGTATATTGTAGCGGAGATGCAATAGTACCCAGGTTATCTCCGCTTATAATCCAAGTGAGACTCAGGAACAAGTAAATAGTAAATCCAAAGGCAGGGTCTCCAGCAGGTAAAATACAGCAATATCCCAACAGCAATCCCAATAACTGGACGACACACAGTTTCAGGAGCATAACTGACAAGCCTTTAATCACAGTCTCCTTATAAAGCATGCTCCCATGCAAGGGAGGGATTTACAGTAATTATTACAGTAGCCAATCCTGTCCTGGTAACCTCCCACACATCCCCTCCCCTCAACCAGCATCATAATCCCCTTAGCCAGCACACCAATTCCCCCCATTTCTGGATGTACCCCTAAACGTAGGGGTACCCCTTTAAATTATACATCCCTGGGTAGCCCTGATCTGGGTGAACAACATATCCAAAAATCACCCAGATCGGACCAGGGGTTCGGGAAAAGTATGGAGGGAATAAAATGACCGACCGCACGAACAGAGCTAGCCGAATTCGGTTCCATGTGAATGGGCCTTGCGGTCGGTCCTGGCATAAGGGAATAAAAATACACGAAAGCCTCTAGCTATAGACGCTAGGGGGGTTCGCCTGAATCCCCTCGTTCGGTATTCTCTATTTACCGAACGAGGGGCCGTTCGGTAGTTTGGAACCGAACGGACCAGGGCTGTGGAGGTCTCAGCGGTGTTCGCCTACTCGAGTGTCCGATTTTAGTTCCAGACACTCGACGGCAAAACACCGCTGTTCGGGAGTTTTAAAATGGCGCCGCCACGTGTTCGTTTGTCGAATGGCGGCCACCCCCGAGAACAAAGGACGGCTACTTACTGTTCAATTACCCGTTCGCAACAATGTTGCAACGGGTAATTGAGGACACACTTCACACAAGGAGGTCTGGTTGTTCGGTAGTTTCATTCGAATAAACTAAGGGAATGAAACTACCGAACAATCAGAGGAATACAATTCTTTTTCAATACACAGAAAATACAGCAGATACACGGATGCAGCTTTATACAGTATTTTTGTAGGGTCGCCTGGTGCCATCCGCTACATATATGTTTACAAAGGTAAATGTGAGACCATTGATTTTTATAATTAAAACCTGATATCTATCATTTTTATCAGTTATTGAGTGAATAACTTCAAAACTAAGTCGGTTTGAAATAATAATAGCCGCTCCCCTTTTTTTCTTCTTACCTTCCAAATTTGCTGCATAAACTGTAGGGAATTTTTTATATTTCCATAGTCTATCAGGAGTTTCAATCCAGTGAGTCTCTTGAATAAAAGCTACGTCAATTGAATTTTCAATTAAGAATTTATATACAGCTCCCCTTTTTTGAGGTGAATTCATGCCCTGGACATTCCAAGTAATTATTTTAAGTGACATCTCTATTCCAGAAATCCCTATCCCATCCCAGACCAAGTCTCACACAGCTACATATTAAAACAAGAAAAAAAAAGAAAAAGAAAAAAAAAAAAACAGCCAAAAAATACAGAAAATAAAAAAAAAGAATAAATAAGTTGTGAACAAAAAAAACATAGAGGGGAATATACCCCCACCTTTAATAATCCAAGAGGAAATCATTCCCATATGACTCTTGGACTAGCCTGCCCTGATATGCAGGAAAATAGGTTCCATTGGGGAATGTAAGAGACACCTTAATATAAACAAATTTTAACCCTTAGCCAACATTTACACACCCCCAGAACTATAGCTACATTTTTATCCATTGACATCATTTATATATAAAATAAAGAATATGGTTATTTTATCACTAACATTCTTTGTATATGTATATCTATATAAGCTAGACAAGCTTAAGGTAAGATTATTAGTTCAAATTATTCATTTTATATTCATCATTAGATTCCCCAAATTATAAGATCTAAACATGTAAACATGTAGATATGGGTATCGATAGATCATACTATTATTTATATCAGGGAATCCATATCCATAATAACATAATAACCAGTCAGAATGTAATATATTTATATGTATCCTTTCCCCTTTCTTTTCCTTCTCCTCCTTAACCTTATATCATATTCAACATATTATTATATCGATACAACGTTAAATAAGTTGTTCCAACTCCTGTTCCAATATTACACCAGGATGGAGATGAGAGAGAAAAAAAAAAATAGATACGTACTTAAATAAACAAGTTTTACCTTACTCCATCCTAAATTTTATAGTTAGTGATAAGTGAATTATTCCATAAATAACTTGCTTCATATTTATATCGGTGAATTAATTAAAACAATTTTGCTCCTTATACATATATGTGTTACAAAATATTAATATAACAACCTGATAAAAGAAAAAAAAAAAACATTATTTACCCCTTTCATAGTGGTGTCAATAAATTTATTTAAAACGGTTTTGTTCTTTATGCAGTTATGTGTTACTAATTATTAATATAATAGCCTAATACTTATAAGATCATTATTAACCCCCATTCTCGTAAGTAAATAGATGATTTCACCATTTCCTTATATTTAATGTGTTATAAAGTGTCAATATATCACCCTAATATTTTAAATTAGTAATATTAACTTATTTTTATGTGTTTATTATAAAGTATGATTGCCTATTAAATATTACATCCTTTTATTATAAATATATCCCTCTAATAGTGTCTTCCCCCATCATTCTCTCTTTCTCCCTTCCTCCTTTACCAGAAAGGAGGGAACTAAAGGAGTCCTGCAGTTAACATTGTTATTCTATGTTAACTTCCATGTTAACATAAACTGTTGTACATCCTCTACATTTTTTAGAAAAAATTGTTGATCTTGATAATAGACTTGGAGAGCCGTTGGAAAATTCCATTTGTATTTAATCCCATGAGATCTTAAAGTGGCAGTCTGAGTAGCAAATTTTTTTCTTGATTGACGAGTCATCATAGACAAATCAGAAAATAATTTTATATCTTTAAATTCAGGATCATCCAATCCTTTATTCTGCATAGCTTGCATAGTCCGATTCTTCACCTGGTTATTGGAAAAACATACTATTGTATCTCTGGGCACGTTAGATGACAAATGTTTTGGTTTGATTAATCTATGAAATCTCTCAAATGGTAAATCTCGTAGAGGACAGACAGTCAGGAGTAAGTCTTTGAAAGAGGGTTTTTAAATATTGTTCCAATTGATCAAATTTGATATTTTCAGGAATCCCTCTTACTTTGATGTTATTCCTCCTTGAGCGGTCTTCTAAGTCACCCATTTTTGTTTCTATGGTTTGTATTTTCTCCTCCAGATAGTTGCATTTCCTCGTCAGTTCCTCATTATTAATTTGTATTTGCCTAAGACTGTCCGCTTGTATTTGCAGATTTATAGATAAATTTAAAATCTCCTCTTTTAATATTTTGGAATTATCTTCTACATCCTGTTTCAATTTAATATATACATTTTCCAATGCATCGTTGAGTATTTGCAATGTTACCTCCTGATATCTGGGTTTGTTCTTGAGCTAGAGACATGGGATAGTCTACTCAAAGTACTCCTTTCTTGAAGTTTAGGTGAATAAAAGATATTAATACCCTTAGTCTTGTTCGAATTTGTATTGCTATTTTTCTCCTTTTCTTTTTTGGGAGGCATTATCTTTTATAGCAATCTACTTCTGTAAATATTTGTTAGATATAACTATGTATCAATATTTAGTTGAGATATAAATTCCGCCGTTATCTGGCGGATATAGCTGTGACTATTATCTAAGAGCGATCACTGTAGACGTCGCAAATCTAAAAAAACGGTCACTGCGTCTATAGCATTTTTTTTCGGGAGTGGTCATTAAAGATGGCATATACCAATGTTAAATTTCATATATATACATAATTAAAATAGCCGATTTCTATTTTGACTGTAGTCCAGCAGTTTTCCCGGCTAACAAACTTCAATTTCATATATATACACAAGGTATCCAGTTATTAACTTGCACAGCTCCAACCTTCCAACATCAGTTTTATCTCCTCAAGCTTAGCGTTTAGCTATTATCAATATCATCGTTTATTTAGGCACAGGTTTCCGCCATTGTCTAGAGAACAATCATTATATCTTTAGGGCTTTTTAACAATGTATTGCTTGTCTGTGTCTCTCCCCCTCTCCCTTCCTTTCGCATTGTGTTGTAGACCCCATGTAGGGGTCTGTGCCTAACAAACCATTTGTGACAAGATAAAAGGATTTCTCTGTACCTGAGAAGGAACTGGATTGCCTCTTATGCACAGATAGGTAAACACATAAAAGGGATGTCAGGATAGTAACATACATTGCAGGGTACTGGGGCAGTTCACGTTTTAGCGGGGGTTCCGTTACAGGCAGTGTATTGAATTGAGGGAGGATGAGGGGAGGGCAGTGTATTGAATTGGGGGAGGATGAGGGAAGGGTGTATTGAATTGGGGGAGCAGGGGAGGGAGGGCAGTGTATGAAATTGGGGGAGTGTGACGGACCTCCGTCCAGGCCACTTCCTAGCCACTTGCAGGGACCCTGGAAAGCTTCAACCCCAGTCGCTCTTCCTCCCGACCAGGCTGCAGCTCTTTTTCCAGGCAGGTATCATCCCTTCTGCCTATTCCTCTGCAAAAAAATACAAACAGTCAAATCATGGCAGACAACATACAGCAACTTATTATAACCCAATTACATATTTATAAAGGGTTGGGGAAGACTATAATTAACAGAAAATATCTCTCCTGCCTGCAGAATTAGCAATATGCAAATCTACCTGAATATGCAAGTTAACCAACCTTGCTATTCAGATAGTGCATATTGCTGTTACTACCAACAGAGGGCACTTCACAGGCTCCAGAGCCAAATCCATCCAGTTGGTAGAAATCATCAGCAGTACAGGAGAGCAGGTAGTACATTTAACAGTATACACACACAATATAAACCATTACATTGCACACACCCTGCACCTATAAAGGGTACAGGGTGACTCAAACATAAGAAAAGTAAAGCAACCTACATAAATAGTCTGTCTGAAGGTACAGGTGATGGGGAATACCGTCACAGGGAGGATGAGGGGAGAGAGTGGGCAGTGTATTGAATTGGGGGAGGATTAGGGGAGATAGAGAGGGCAGTGTATTTGTGACGATCACCCCGAGTGAGGAGGGGTATCTACCACCAGAGATGTCCTTTTCCCCTAGTCTGAGTAGCGCTGCAGTATTCTCCAGTTGATATCCAAGCAGACCAGGAATCCAATATAGCTATAGAGCTCTTATAAGAACTAGTGATTATGACAGTATAGCAGTTCCTTACAATCATGAGACAAGGCTGCGTGTTGAGGGTTAAGTGGACTGGTTTAATGGTAGCCATACTGGCCTTTTATGTAATTCCCCATGTAAGGGCACTCCCACATGGACGTTGTTGGGGACTACAATACAAACTTATAAACTAATAATGACAGAGTTACAATGTATGACACTCCCACACATGGCATACAATCCCTCCCCTCTGCCTGGGAGATAATCGAGTCAATTACTGTATCAACTCAATTATCTCCAGGCGAAAAAGAACATCATTTATAGACAATCTGAAAGTACCCCAAAAGCCCACACAAACCCCATAAAAAGTACATCCCCTGATAGCCCCGATCTGGGTTAGCAACATATCCAGAAATCACCCAGATCGGTTCAGGGGTTCGGGATTCATATGGAAGTCTTATTTCTGATCGGCCACACATGAGGCTCCTGCCCGGAAAGCTAGTCGTGTGCCCCTCTTTCGGAAGTTAGGTTTCACCGAACGTCGCCTCTTTCGGATGACTTGGAACAAACCTAGGTGATCCTGGAAGTCTCAGCGGTGTTCGGGCCATCGAGTGTCTGAAAATAGTTCCATACACTCGACGACCAAGCACTGCTGGATGCGTTCAACAAAACAAGATGGTCACTGCCACGTGTTCGGGCATAAGAATGATGGCCACCCAGTGAACCACTTAGAACGTTCAGTGTTGTGATTAGAGCAAGTGTTGGTAAGGTAAATTGGGTCAATTGGAGACACGCGACTGCTCTGGGTGGTCCAATGGTTCGGTATATTATTCGGTATACGAACCAGCTCGGGCAAATCTGTTCGGTTGGATTCGTATACTGATCCAGGCAAAGTAAACAAGAATCTCCAGGAACAGGGCATCTGTTACAGTATTGAATTGGGAAGGATGAGGGGAGGGAGGGCAGTGTATTGAATTGGTGGATGAGGTGAGAGAGTGGGCAGTGTATTGAATTGGGGGAGGATGAGGGGAGTGAGTAAGGGCAGTGTATTGAATTGGGGGAGGATGAGGGGAGTGAGGGAGGGCAGTGTATTGAATTGAGGGAGGATGAGCGGAGAGAGTGGACAGTGTATTGAATTGGGGGATGATGAGGGGAGAGAGTGTATTTAATTGGGAATGATGAGGGGAGAGGGGGGCAGTGTATTGAACTGAGGGAGGATGAGGGGAGGCATGGAGGGCAGTGTATTAAATTTGGGGAGGATGAGGGGTGGGAGGGTAGTGTATTGAATTGGGGAGGGAGGGCAGTGTATTGAATTGAGGGAGGATGAGGGGAGGGGGCCAGTGTAATGAATTGGGGAAGGATGAGGGAAGGAGGACAGTTTATTGAATTGGATAGGATGAGGGGGAGGCAGTGTATTGAATTGGGGAAGGATGAGGGGAGGGAGGGCAGTGTATTGAATTGAGGGAGGATGAGGGGGGCAGTGTAATGAATTGGGGAAGGATGAGGGGAGGGAGAGCAGTATATTGAATGGGGGGAGGGCAGTGTATTGAATTGGGGGAAGATGAGGGGAGGGGGGGCAATGTATTGAATTGGGGGAGGATGAGGGGAGAGACTGGGCAGTGTATTCTGTACTTTTACTGTATTGTGTACTCTCTGTCAAATTATGACTTCCATGGAAATCCCAAATCCCTGAACCGATCTGGGTGATTTTTGGATATGTTGGTTACCCAGATTGGGGTTATCCGGGGATGTGACGTTTGTGGGGTTTCCATGTGTTTTGGGAATACTTTCGGGATATTGTAAAATATATGTTTTCTGTGCCTTGAGATAATTGAGTTTAGTGTAGTTCCTGACTCAATTATCTCCTTGGCACAGTGGAGGGATTATCTTATTTTGTGTGGGAGTGTCCTGGACCTGAGAGCCAATGTTTTACTGTAGTCTCCTCTCGGGTCCAGAGGGGAATGCCCCTGATATATATATATATATATATATATATATATATATATATATCTCCAGAAACCCCTTGCATGGGGAGTTGCATATAAGACTGCATGTGGCTCCCATTAAATCAGTTTCTCTTCACCCTCAACATAGAGCCTCGTCTCATGGGAGGGAGGATGATGGGTACCAGTGTATTGAATTGGGGAAGGATGAGGGGAGGGACGGCAGTGTATTGAATTGGGGAAGGATGAGGGGAGGGAGGGCAGTGTATTGAATTGAAGGAGGATGAGGGGTACCAGTGTATTGAATTGGGGAGGTTGAGGGGAGGGAGAACATTAAAATGAGGGGAGGGTGGGCAGTGTATTGAATTGAGGGAGGATGAGGGGTACCAGTGTATTAAAATGAGGGAGGATGAGGGGAGGCAGGGCAATGTATAGAATTTGGGGAGGATCAGGGAGAGAGGACAGTGTATTGAATTGGGGCCGGGGTGTATTAAATTGGTGGTAGGGAGTGGGGTGTATTAAATTAGGGGAGGGGGGAAGAATGTGTTAAATGTGTTAATAGTCTTTAAGCTCATAAAAGTATTTTTTTAAGGTTTTGACTTTTTAAATCTTAAGATTTGTTTCCCCTCTACATGCTGAACCCTATGCCCCCCTACACAACATCCTCATAAATACATTCTAAAGACTTTTATACACACACACACACACAGCAACCCCAACGCAAACTCTCTGTAGCCCCATACACACTACATACATATACATAAACATTAGATACACATATACACACACTACAGCCCCTAGATGCGCACACACACACACACACACACACACACACACCTTCTAGACACACAAACTCTCTATAGCCCCTAAACTCACAAACTACAGTTCATATACAAACACTACCCTGAAACACAAACTACAGCCCCTATACATAAAATCGCACATTACAGCTCCTGTAACCCGCTACAACCCCTAGATACACCCACACGCACACAACAGTTCCGATACACATACAAGCACAGTACACTCTCTAGAAGTACTTCAAATACACACACAGACACACACTCTCTATAGCTCTAGACTCACACTTTACATCCAGTGGAAACATATAAACACACTTCAGTCCACAACAGACTCCTTTAAACACAAACCACAGTCAAACCTATGCACACGCAAATCTCACAATCAGCTTCCAACCACATACAGTGCCACAGAGAGCCTCCCCACAAATTCCAACACCCTTAACTGGCCATACCCCACTTTTGTCCTCTGTTATCCCTTTTATAGGGACACCATAGACAAGTCACAAGCAATCGCAGAGCTGTGAAAAATAAACACAGGGCATTGGTCCCATGCAAGTGCTCTTCAACAGGGCTCTGCGCATGAAATGCCCTGGAGGGATAGCAGATTAGCATACTCACTTTGAGGTGGTTTGCATGTCATTATTGATGACATGAAACGCCCACTTTATGTCCCTGCCCCCTCTAACCAGGCTGCTCTGCCTTTAAAGGCCCAAGCTGAATTATTTTCCCAGTCCGGCCCTGATACAAATCCATAGGGTCCATAGTCCACCAATCCCCAAGATATTGCAGATGCGATTTACATGACCTGATTGGGAGTTGAGGCGTTGAGTTGATATCAAACAGGTCTGATAAGGCTCCATTGATTCTTAAAGGACCACTATAGTGCCAGGAAAACATACTCGTTTTCCTGGCACTATAGTGCCCTGAGGGTGCTATGTTTATAAAAAAAATGGGTTAACCCTAGAAGGACCTGGTACCCAGACCACTTCATTAAGCTGAAGTGGTCTGAGTGCCTAGAGTGGTCCTTTAATCGTCCTATCAGATTGGAATTTAAAGTGGAATTCCAGGACATAAATTTCTGTCCCACGCCCATCTCCCGTAGTATGCTTAACATGAACTCCCAGTCCACATTGTCAAACACTTTTACGGCATCTGTGGACAGGAGTAGAACTGGTGGGCCACCGTGTCAAGCCATTGCAATTTGCTTTATCCCGGACCTCCCTGCCCGAGATGAACCCGGTTTGGTCCAGTTTAATAGTGCCCTGCAACAGAGGGGAGATGCAGTTGGCAAGGACCTTGAAAAGAAACTGGAGATCATTGTTCAACACAGATGTCGGCCGGTAGCTCTGGCAAAGGGTCGGGTCCTTGCCGTCTTTGGGCAAAAGTGTAATATTAGTCCAAGTGAACTGTGGGAATGAAAGTCCATCTGCGTTCCCATTTTGTTTGCCTGGACGGTAGTGAATGGTGAAGTCGTAAGGCTGTAGGGCAAGACTCCACCGTAGCAGACGGGCATTATCTCCAGCGACCCAGTTGAGCCAGACTAGGGGGTTGTGGTCTGTGATGAGAGTGAAGGCGCGGCCATACAGATAAGGGGTCAGTTTCTTGAGTGCCCAGACTAGGGCCAAACACTCTTTCTCAATGGCCGCGTAGCTGACCTCCCTAGGCAAAAGATTCCTACTCCGATAAGCCACCGGGTGCTCCCCACCGTCTTCTCCGATTTGGCTCAAAACTGCCTCTAGTCCAAACATGGAAGCGTCTGTATGGACGATAAAGCGTTTGTTAGGATCTGAGGCAGCCAAAACAGGGGCATTGACAAGAGCTTGTTTTAGAGCTTGGAAAGCCACCTCACACTCCGGGAACCACAGGACCTGTCGGGGTAGCTTCTTTTTAGGTCGGGTACAAAACGCCTGTAATAGCCATCTGTCCCTAGGAAGGTATGGGGAGTGGGCCAGTTAGCAACGGCCTCGATCTTAGCTGGCTCTGGTCGTTGCTTACCACATCTAACATGGTGCCCCAAATATTGCACCTCCGCCATACCGATGTGACACTTGTCAGGCTTCAAGGTCAAACCGGCACCCCTAATCCTATCTATCACTGTCCCTATGTGTTCTTGGTGAGCCTCCCAGGTGTCGCTATAAATAGCGATGTCGTCCAGGTATGCACAAGCATAGTCCTGGAGACCATTTAGGAGGCGGTCTACCATCCTTTGGAAGGTGGCTGGAGCGTTCTTCATCCCTAACGGCATAACTCGAAATTGGTCTATCGCGAACGGGGTGATGAAGGCTGACTTGGGGACAGCTTCTTCTGCTAGGGTGATCTGCCAGTATCCCTTGCAGAGGTCGATAGTGGTCAGATATTTCCCTTTCGATATACGGTCGAGTAGTTCGTCTATCCGGGGCATCGGGTAGGCGTCTGTCACCGTTTTGTTGTTGAGCTGCCTGTAATCGAAGGCCCAATGACTCTCTGAGTGTTCTATAACTCCTAGGCGAAGCATCTCCTCTATTTCCTTCCGCATCCCGTCCTCAACAGCTTCGGGAATGCGGTACGGGGGTTGTCTCAAGGGAGCCTGTCCTTGTGGACCGCTAACGGGGTATACCCGGGTTTCTGGGAGAACGTGGTTTGTTTGGCTTCCAGCAGGTGGTTGGCTTGAGCCCGTTCGTAGGGTCCCCAGTTGGACTAACTCTATATTCCTCGTCTCCCCGTCACCCCCTAACAGGTCTGGTAAGGGTAAGGCTTCTGTGTCCTCCCCTGCTGGGGCACATATGGCCGTCACTTCTTCGGCCCTTTCTTTATAGGCTTTGAGCATACTGATGTGAAACGTCCGTCTCACATCCTCATTCTCACAGCTAGCTATGACGTAGGTGGTATCGCACACCTGCCCAATAACCTTATACGGATCCTGCCAGGCTGCCTGAGGCTTGTCTTTCCAGATTGGCTTTAGAACCATAACTTTTTGTCCAATTTGAAAGCTCCGGTGCTTGGCTCTCCGGTCGTACCATACTCTCTGGTGCTGCTGGGCCGCTTGGAGGTTTTCCCTAACTGTCTGAGCCAATTCCTCCATGCGGTCCCTCAGCTCCAGCACATAGGGCACAATCGGAGTCCCCTCTATCTCTGTCTGGCCCTTCCAATGATATTTAATAAGGTCTAGGGTCCCCTCATGCGCCTCCCGTACAACACCTCAAAGGGCGAAAATCCCATTGATTCCTGGGGCACCTCCCGGTACGCAAAGAGGAGATTCATCAGGAATCGCTCCCAGTCTTTGTAGGCGCCCGTGAACGTCTTAAGGATCTGCTTCAGAGTCCCGTTAAAGCGCTCACAGAGACCGTTAGTCTGAGGATGGTACGGGGAGCTGTTCAGGGGTTTAATCCCACAAACCTTCCAATACTGCTGAGTCAATTCTGCAGTGAACTGCGTACCCCGGTCAGATAAAATCTCTTTGGGAAATCCCACCCGAGAGAAGATCTTGACCAGGGCATCAGCCACAGTCTCAACGTGGATGTTGGAGACAGCTACTGCCTCTGGGTAGTGGGTGGCGTAGTCCACTACGGTAAGTATATAGCGCTTACCGGAGTGGCTAGGCTGGGCAAGTGGAATCTACCGCTACCTTCGTGAAGGGTTCCTCTATGATGGGCATCAGGACCATTTTGGCTTTAGAGTTGTCTCCCTTTTTTTAAAATATATAGTAATGGTGAAATATATAAATAAAAGAAAAGAAAGGGTAGTTCCACACAATCACCAGCGACTAATATTGAGTGAGAGCTCACAAATTGTAATAGTGTGGACACTTACCCAGTCAAAAAATAAAAATTATTATAATTATGAATAAATAAACCACTGTTTATTCGTCAGAAACAGTTAGATAATAGTTATCAAAAATACCAAAGATAATCTGAACCTGTTATATAAACAATTAAAAACAATATCGCTATCGTAACCACACAGCTCTATAATGAGTAAGGAAATTAAGTGGTAAAAACACCCAGACTCTACGTAAAAAATAACAAAGTGTCTGAGTGTTTCCCCACCCCAAACCCAGACACAAATATGTATGCGGATATACTGTGATAGAGAAATATAGACACAATACCTCTCCTCGGTGTGGGCCCCCACCGAGGTAAAAAAAGGGGGCAGAGAGTCTAAAAATATAATAAGGAAGAATGCGGCACACTTTATGTCCTTTAGAGTCGTTGACTGATGCACCGCGGTCGGAGTCTTCGAAAAAGACCGCGGTGTGGATCGAAAATGTACCCCGACACAATTAAGTATAGCTTCAGAGGTAAAATCCAACAAACATAGCCAAACGAAGGAAAGACTGCCAAAATAGATGTATACTTCCTGCTTTCACTCCAAAACAGCAATCAAATAACAGCAGGTCCAGAACTCAGCCTGTCTACGTGTTTCGTCCCTCCCACGGGACTTTATCAAGACTCCCTTTTTACCTACTCTTTGGCACACCTCACATGTCTGGCAATAATTCCAGACGTCATCGGATACCCCAAGCCAGAAAAAGTTCTGGGTTACCCGGTGTAACGTCCGGCGTATCCCCAAATGCCCTGCTAATGGGACATCATGCCCTATTAGCAACAACTCCCGCCGGTACTTCTTTGGGATTACCAGCGTGCGTTTTTTGCCGGGGTCCGGGTGCGTTGACCCGGGACTCCGTAAGCCTGTACAACCGGCTACCCTCCCAGACTAGCTGCTCCCCTCCTAGTCCCCCTTGATCTACCCTAGCCTTTTCCCTGTACTTTCTTAGTGAGTGGTCCCCCACTACTTCCCTCTCAAAATCCTCCGGGGTATCCTAGGGAAGGGGCTCTACAGTCAGGGGCGGGGTAGGTTGTCTTACCTGGGTCTCAGTAGGAGGCGGATGGCTCTCGGCAGCACGGCTTTGGGCTCTGGTGGTTACGGCTTGAGCATCGTGAGTAGGTGTGGGTATGAAGGAGGAGGTTAGCGGCCCAATGTCCTTTCCCAATACGACCTCTGCTGGCAATTCCTTCATGACCCCCACATTGACATTGCTGGCTCCGGCACCCCAGTCTAGGTGGACCTTGGCAATGGGAATCCGATATATAGCCCCCCTGGCTACTCGAACAGCAATGGATTACCCGGTCGTTCTAAATTGTCGATCAAGAGCCTCTGGACTAAAGTGATGGTGGCTCCAGTGTCCCTAAGGCCTCGGGCAGTTTTCCCATTGACCATCACTAACTGACAATGGTGTTTCTGGTTGTCAGTGATGGTGGACTGGACCAGGTGGGCTTCATGGAGCTCCTCGTGGCTCAATTCCCTGGCGTCCCAAGCAGTGGGTGCAGGGTAATCCACGCAATGTGCTGCTTCCCGGGGGTTGGAAAACCCAGGGCGAGTCCAGTTGGACCTGGGGGCTTCCAGGGGACAGTTGTTGCGCAGGTGCCCCAGTTACTTGCAGCGAAAACAGCGGGGCTCGTTGTTAGCTGGGCGTCCAGGGTCTGGTATCTTGCTACTGCTGGTTGTGGTGGCGTCTCGGTCTGAAGAGGCTGAACCTGAGGTTTAGCACGCTCTGCCTTGCGGGCATCAGTGTACTCATCCACAAGTTTGGTTGCCTTGGGTAGGGAGAGGGGTCTGTGGTCTCTTACCAAGTCCTTGACGTCTGTCTGGATATGGTTATAAAACTGTTCTAGTAGGATAAGCTGCAAGATGTCATCTACAGTGGCTGCTTGGCAGCTTGTAATCCAATAGGAGGCTGATAACTGTAAGTAGCAGGCCCATTCTGTATAGGGATCCTTGTCCACTTAGCGAGATTCCCAGAATTTCCTGCGGTATGCCTCAGGAGCGCCTCTTTTACCCACTCATAACTGTGGATCTCCTGATCTGAAACTGCCCTGAAGGCGTCGGCTGCTTTGCCAGACAGCTTTCCTGCTAATATCTGGACCCATTCGTCTGGAGCCACTTTGTGTAGAGCACACTGGCGCTCAAAATCTGCCAGATAGCCATCAATTTCGCTTTCTGTCTCATTTAAACTTTTAAAAGCGCTGAAGGAAATCTTCCGCGATTTGACTATGCTGTTACCCCCGTTCGGTGAAATTGCTGCTGTTCGTTGGTTTTCAGCCAGCTTCAGTTGTAGCTTTCGCTGTTCTTTTGTGTTAGCATTTTCAGTCACATTGTTAATCATCTGGATGATGATTTCAGGAGGTGGGTTTGGCCCGAACAGTGGCAATCGTTCACTGATCTCCCTGTTGATCGATGTTTCATTTTCCCGAACGGTCGGTTTTGCCGCAGCCAAGTTCTCTCGGTCTAGCTCCATTAATTAGTTGATTATGCAGGAAAAAGGGATGATCCCGCCGCTGCCAACCAGTTGTGATGGTCAGAATAGTTATTCCCGTCTGGTATTTCCTCATTCCATGAAATAATATCGCCAGTAATCCAAAAGGTTCCAATATCGCTGGTGTCGCATAATAACCCACACGTGAGCCAAAGCTTAATGCTGGGACAAGACTGGTTTAATGGAAAAACAGGCATCCAATTTATACACATGACACCTCCTCTGAGCCAGCGAGATAATGGAGTTTTGGAAACATGCTAAAATCAATTATCTGCTAGCCAGAAAAAGTTAACATTGTCACAATTTTTTAGAAATACCCCAAAAATACATAAAAACCCCACAAACATCATATCCCTCGGTAGCTGAACTCTGTGGGAGAAACATATTAAAATTTCAGCCAAATCCGTTTGGTAGTTTTCGAACGGAAACCATGTTGAAGGTTGACAGGTCTACCACGAGGGTGAAGCCGATAAACCATTCCAGAAGATTTGTGGCAAGAACCGGTCTCCGTTCGTGTAGATTCATATGAAAACCGCAATAGGTAAAATAGAAATGGTTCGTGTAGAATGCTCCTGTCGTTCGTCGGTTTCAAACTCCCGAAAGCCGTTCGTCTACAGTGCTGGGGAATAGAACATAGGGGACTTCCATATAGACTGGGGTTCGTGCGAGTGCCAAAAATGACCAAGTCCAACTGGCCACATTCGGGAGACAAGATGGCTGCCGTCCATTGTTCTCACCACGTGCGTTCGTATGCAAGAAATGGCGGCCACCTAGGAGTAGTCAATTAGTCTGCGGTTTCCGTATTGCTACACAGTGTTCCAAGTTCGAATTAGTCCCAGGGTGGTCTCAGTTCGGTAAAACATATGATTTAACGAACGGACATAAAATAAAACAAAAAACTAAGGGAAGTAGATAGCAGGGAGTGCAAATCGCCGAATGGTGCTGGGAATTCCTTCACAATAGTTGTGCATTGCATTGTTTGAGTAGGTTTGTCAGAAGGCATTTGTTTCCATGTCCATGTTCGCGGAAGTGTTGATATGAGCGTTGTATATACTGGTGAGAAAGCTGGCTTCTCTTCAGAAGGAGTTCCGTATTTGCATTTTTTATTCTTTTTTATTGAGGCATGGAAAGTACAATACAGAAAGAAGAAAGGGCAGTTATATCTGTTGTAAAGGCAATGCATCCTAAGATATAGTACCAGCTGAGGCAAACCTATCCACTTAATACTATTCCTTTATATCTAATGGTTGTCCTAGAAAGGCTGTTTAATTTATGTTGTTTCATGTTGTTCGCTTAAAAAGGAGATAGAGGGCATTCATATGCTAGTGGTGCGAAAGCCGCTAGCATTCATATGGTAGTTTCACGAACAGTGACTTTCAACACTGTTCGTGAAACGAACAAGGTACCGAATGGGAGACCACACACAGGAGGTCGTGTGGCTCCCATTAACAGTTTGCAACAATGTATCGTTCCTCAGTTAATTGATTCGCGGGGTGGCCGCCGTTCGGATACCGACCACGCGTCGGTGGCCATCTTGGATTCACTTTTAGCCCAGCTGTGTTTGGTCGTCGAGTGCCAGGAACTAAAATCGGCTACTCGACGGCACGAACACCGCAGGACTTCCAGATCGTTCTGGAACACCGGTCTTTCAGTACTTTCCCTCAAACTGTGCATTCGTGTCTTTTCTGATGAGTTTATATTAAAGTGTATTTCGTATGGCATTCGGCTAATTGTGCTGGGATCTGAGCGGTAGTTTCCTGAAGTATGCGCTCAGATCCCAGCTATCTACCTATATGTAATTCGGTCAAATAGCACGAATAACGTTCAAGTTATATATTTTTAAGTAAAAAGGCCGGTTCTGCTGTACAGAGGGATAATCCACTTATGGGAGTATCCCTCTTGTACAGCAGTGCCTGGTGGGAAAAATGTCCTGTATGTTCAGTTCCCCATGTAGTCCCTGTAACTGATCACCTGGCACCCCAACTGGGTGTCTCTGTTGATAGATGCTCCTAGCGCTTCTTGAGGATTCCAAGCACTCTAGCCGACACCACAACCACCGCAGGCCAAACCGCTCTTCCTTCAGAGCGAAGCAGGAACGAGCTCTTAAAAGAGCTTAGGAGTGATTATAGCAAGGGAATATGCAGAGCATAGCAATCCCTTGTAGCAGATTCCCCCAAAATGAGACAGGACTCCAAATTGAGGGTGAAGTAGAACTGTCTAAAACTTTATTTTACTTGGGACTAGTCCATATGGTCATTACATTAAAATTGCTGTGAAAACTCAATAAAATTACAAACAGTCAAATCATAGCAGGCAACATACAGTGACTTATTATAACATAATTACATATTTATAAATGGGTGGAGAACATAATTAACACAAAATGACTCTCCTGCATGCAGAATTAGCAATATGCAAATCTACCCGAATATGCAAATTACCAGTCTTGCTATTCAGGTAGTGCATATTACTGTTGCTACCAACAGAGGGCACTACACAAGCTCCATAGTCAAATCCACCTAGTTGGTAGCAATCCTCAGCAGTACAGGAGAGCAGGCATTACATCCCAGGGGCCATAGTCACATGGCAGGAGGCTGGCAATCAGTCTTATCCAATGCCCAGTGGCGAGGCTGGTTCCTCCACAGTCCCCTACTGTACAACCCCTGTAAAGTGATTAAGGAAACCCCTTGCATGAGGAACCACATAAATACTGGGACCTGTGAATAAAAACCTCAGTTGACTCCCAGCACTGTGTTTCATCCGGTTACTGGGGGATTTGGGATATTGCCTTCATTCAGGGCTTTTCTTGGATTACTTTCTTTTACCAGCGGAGATATTGGGATTTAATATTGCAGCTCCGCTACACCAGTGATAGACATCTGTGTGGCTGACCGCCAGTATATCGCCGCAACGGACTCCCTTTCCCAGTGTGACGTAGCTCTATCAAGTAGTGAAAGTGAATATAGCTGGTATAGCATTACCCCCATACATTATTCGAGACTGAATGCTGGGAGTAGATCTCTCTTTATTTCAGGCAAGCACTCTCAATTTATAAACAGACCCCCATCAGGGGGTCTCCATACAGAAACACAGTAAACTCCTCCCTCTGTCTGAGAGATAATTGAGTCAGGAAACTAACTCCATTATCTCTCAGGTACAGGAAAACATAAGCAACCAATCTTACAACACCCCAAAAGTAACCCAAAAATACATGGAAAGAGTCCCATCCCCGGATAGCCCTGATCTGAGCGCCCAACATATCTAAAAAGCGCTCCGATTGGTTTGGTGGTTTGGAACTGCAACGGGGTAAAGTTTTGACCGGTCGGCCACGAGATAAAAGTTCCCACCAGTTCCAGGGAAATGGTGGGAACAACTGGTCTCAGTTCGGGAGTTTCTGTAAGAAAAACCACACAAGATATCTGTAATGGATCCCAGTATTCCAGCTGAGTACATCCGTGTAGAATCTCCCAAGTCTCAAGCGTCGTAGTGTTTATAAGTGTGACTATAACTCCCAATGAAGGGGTAAAATGATCTGGTTAATCCAGGCTCAATGGCCTGCTTTTATGCATTACAAGGACACAGAAAACATGCCCATGACACTCCCACACAAAACAGGGTAATCCCTCCCCTGTGCCTGGGAGATAATTGAGTCAGGAACTGTACAAACTCAATTATCTCCAGGCACAGAAAAGTTTACAAACACCCCAAAAGTACCTTCAAAACACATGAAAACCCATCCCCTGATAGCCCCGATCTTGGTGACCAACATATCCAAAAATGACCCAGATCGTCCTAGGGTTCGAGATTTCCATGGAAGTCAATTATTTGACCGACCGCGCATATGGTCCTATGTCCAAAACAGTTCCATGAAATCAGTGCTAGCGGTTTTTCAACTTTGGTAACATAAAAACAAATTGTGGTGAAAGTAACCTCGCCATGGGCTCTTGGAGGGGCCTGCTGGCCAGCCTCTTGCCAAAAGACTAAGAGCCCTTTAATCCCTTAAGGACCAAACTTCCATGGAGATCCCGAACACCTGAACCAATCTGGGTGATTTTGGGATATGTTGGTCTCCCAGATCAGGGCTATCAGGAGATGTGACTTTTGTGGGTGTTTCCATGTGTTTTGGGGGTACTTTTGGGAGATAATTGAGTTTAGTGTAGTTCCTGACTCAATTATCTCCCAGGCACAGGGGAGGGATTATCTTGTTTTGTGTAGGAGTGTCCTGGACCTGAGAGCCAATGTAATCATGTGTATGTTTTTGCTGTAGTCTACTCTCCAGTGGGGAATGCCCCTGATTATATATATATATATATATATATATATATATATATATATATATATATATCTATCCAGAAACCCCTTGCATGGGGAGTTGCATATAAGACTGCATGTGGCTCCCATTAAATCAGTTCCTTTTCACCCTCAACATAGAGCTTCGTCTCATGTGTGGAGGGGACACTCTAGGGATTGCTATAATCACTATACTCCCTTGGATTACAACACTTGTCCGCCACATGAAGTTTAAACGGATTCCCAAACTGAGGAAGAGAATGGTTCCTGGGAAGGCAAAACAGGGGTTAATAAGCCCAGAGGTGGTCCGCAGTTCGTGAATTTGTTCGGGTCCAGAACAGTACAAATAAATCCCACAAACCAAGTCTTTTTACCAGCCTTTTCTATGGTTCAGTCAGTTGGCCGGAGGCTAGCTTCCACACTCGTCCTGGGGAGGGGGCGTTCGTCACGATATCCAATTGCTTTCACGTAACGAATTCTCCCCCATTCGGTAATTCATATCTCCCGAACGCAGTTCAAATAGGTGGTCGGGAACTGGGACGCGGTGTTCATGGAATTGCTTACCTGAAATGAGTTCCAGGCACTCGAAGACCAGGTACAGCTAACTGCGTTCAGGAGACGAAATGTCCGCCATCCATTCTGCCATCCACGTGCCACCCAGGTAAGCATTTATTAATTGTTTCCTTTGCGGTTTTGCACCTAATAATTGGTGTTCCATGTTCGAATGGGGTGCTGGGGTGGTCCTCATTCGGGAACCGTACCAAGTGAGTTCGAACAACCATGCGAACAGGGATAAAAGGAAATAGTACCGATCCAAGTGATAGGGCATTCCTTCACAATCTGGCTTTGCAAACTAGCAATAACTAGGTCAGAGATTCTGTCCAAAATAGGTGAACTTAGGCTACACAAATAAAATTCAGGCAGTGCTACTTTGAGCAAAGTCCAGGAAGTAAGGCTAAGCACAAGAGTATGAATGAGAGTCAGTTGGCAGGCATCAACCGATACCATAATTACGGTTCAGTAGGAATCCAGCACCGCTGCCATGTAAGATATGCTGAATGGTTTCACCGCAACCTCTGGACCTCACATGGGCAGTTCTTATGGCATTAAAATCGACATGGCGGTGCACTGTCCTCACCTATCCCCAATTAAGTCTGTAAGTGATGCCTTTACTTCATCTCCAGAGAAAGGGCTAAACCCCTTCTGGGCACTTGTAGAAATTGTTGTGGATGACTGGTGGGCTGACAGTCCATCTTGGCTTTGTGCCAGGATGAGTAGGACGTTGCGACTCCACCAGAATCTTCCTCAGTCCCAGGCTTGGTAGGTGACCGTTGCCTCTGTCTTGCCTCAATCCGTTCCCAAAAGGTCAAAGACTGCAGCAAGTCGGGACTCCCATAGAGATGTGTTCTTGTGGGGTCCCTGAGATTGCAGGACAATGGCGGTGTGGCGGGCTTCCTGTAGCTGGTAGCCATAGAGGCGGGCAGCTTTCTGTAGCTGGGGCTCCCGGGTACAGAGGCTCATGGGATGAAAACCCCTTGTCACCAGAGGTGGGAAGCCCTGAGGATGGGTGGCGGGAACAGGGGACAAAGGGACTGGAGCTCCATTTCCGTCAGGAGACCCCTGGGAGGGGGAGGACCCTGAAAGGGAACAGGGGACAAAGGGACTAGGGTTCCGGATCCATTATACGACCCCTGGAAGGGGACATTGTCTTTATGTGTGATCCACCCCTTGCATGGGGAAAAGTATAAAGCAGAGTGTGGCCAATAAAGTTGTTGTTGTACCCCTGGAACTGTGTGTCATCCAGTTACTGGGCAGGGGCGTACCTAGAGCATTTGGCACCTGGGGCTGGTCCTATTTTTGGCACCCCCCCCTCAACTTTTAATATTAAAAACATCCCAATTTTTTTTTTTAATGTATTTAGCACTGAGCAGTGTTTGTGTGTCATGCATGCATGCATGTTTTTGTATGGAGTATATGTGAGTGAATGTAGCGGTGTGTTTGTATGTAGTGTTGGCGTTTGAATGCAAGCATGCATTTGTGTGTTGTGTAGTATTTGAATGTAGTGATATGTGTAGCGGAGAGGTAGTATCATTCACAATATCTCCAGTGGTAGACAGTAACAGCATGTAGTAATCCAGGTAAAACAAGTACAGCATACAATAATCCCGGTAGCGTTATACAGATCCTTCCTTCCCAAGGGCTAGACGACACATAGGCTGGGAGTCAACTGAGGTTTTATTCACAAGCTCCAGTATTTATGTGGTTCCCCATGCAAGGGGTTTCCTTACTGACTTTACAGGGGTTGTACAGTAGGGGACTACATGGGGAACTTAACAATCAGAGCATTTCTCCCAACATGCACTGCTGTATGAGAGGGATACTGTCACTGTTAAGTGGATTATCCCTCCATACAGCAGAACTGGCTTTTTACACAAAAATCTATAACTCTAATATTATTCGTGCTATTGTACCGAATAACCGTTCGGCAGTTAGCTGGGGTCTGAGCACATACTTTGTGAAAGTACCGCTCAGATCCCAGCACAATTAGCTGAACGCCGCACGAAATACACTTGAACACAAATTCTTCACAAAAGTCCCGAATACACATGCAGAGATAAAATACCGAAAGACCGGTGCTCCCGAATGGCCTGGAAGTCCAGCAGTATTCGTGCCGTCGAGTAGCCGATTTTAGGTCCAGGCACTCGACGACCAAACACCGCTGGGCTAACAAAGGATCCAAGATGGCCGCCGCGTGGTCGGTATCCGAACAGCGGCCACCCTGAACATCTATTAACTGCCGACTGATACTTTGTTGCGATCCGTAATGGGAGCCACACGACCTCTTGTGTGTGGTCTCCCATTCGGTAGTTTGTTCGTTTCACGAACAGTGTTGAAATTCACAGGTCATGAAACTACTGTATGAATGCTGGTGGCTTTCGTGCCGCCAGCATACGAATGCTCTCGTTCACATAAAATACAGAATAGGGAACATGGACAGTTCAGGTAGTCTTAAAGCCAAAATATCACATACATGTAAATACAGTCTTAAGTGGGAAATACAGTCTTAAGTGGCTAGGTTTGCCACAGTATGGTTGTATATAATGGTGGGGTTTGTATGTAGTGTTGACGTTGAAATGCATGAGTGTATTTGTGTGTAGTGTTGGCGAGATTTTGAGATGTCTGCACATATATGGACATACACACGTGCAGATACATATACACACAAACACAGTCACACACAGATACATATTGACACACATGCAGACATCGTGGCGACTCTAGAAACAATATATAGGGGGGCACATAAGATACCACAGTCAAAACAGGAGGGGGAGAGGCAGCAGTAAAACTTCTAGCTAGGGGATGGGGTAATATGCTGCCATTGACTGTCTGATGCCAGCATGCTGGCATCTGACTACACATTTGCATATAATTCACATTAGCCACCCAGATTTCTTGTTGTGGGCTGGCTGACACCTCTTCATTTCAATCTTTGTTTAGATAACTCCTCTATTTGCTATCCTTTGTAGAATTGCCATATTTAAGGACACCAAATAAGGTGCTATTTGCTAAACAGCACCCTCATTTGGTATCTTTATGGAAATCTCACATACGGGCACCAATTCAGGGAATGATCTACTAAACAGCTAAAGGATTAAAAAAATGCACTTTTCTTATTTTCAGTTGTTTAGTAGATAAATCCCTTATTTGTTATCCTTATGTGAACACACACACACAATCACACACATAATCACAGATATACACAAACACAATCACTGACCCACACACATACAATTACAGACACACAATCATTACATACATACACACATTTAATAATTAAGAGGTGCACCCAGCCTCCCTACCTTGCTCTAGAAGGGCTGGAGTGGATCCTCAGTCCCTGGTGGTCAGTCGTTGCTGCTGGGATCTCTGTGCTCTTCCTGCACAGGTCCATCGCACGCCCCGTAATGACGCTGAGGCCACGATGACATCATATCCTGGCTGCCGGCTCACTGCAGGGCGAAGACCATCAGACACAGTCAGATGCACACAGTCCCACACACAGTCACTCACACACAGTTACAGGCAGACAGTCAAACACGCAGGCAATCACACAGGCAGACAGTCACACATACACACACAGATTCACAGACAGTCACACCCACAATCACAGGCAGACAGTCACACATTCACACAACACAATCGCAGACAGTCACAGACAGTCTCTCACACACACACCCACAATCACAGGCAGACAGTCACACACACAGAGTCACACAGACAATCACAGGCAGTCACACACAATCACAGGCAGACAGTCACACATACACACAACACAATCACAGACAGTCACACACACACACAATCAGACAGTCACACACACACATTCGGTAGTTCATTCGTCTTTTAAGGAATATAATCAGGAAACACACAAACAACCAGAGACTGGCAAACAAACAGACAAAATAGTCTAAAATAACAATCCAGAGGCAGAGAGGTCTGCCACAGGTGGTATTTGTCAAAGTAACATCCACATGACCAGGCAACCTTCTTGCATTGCTCCATGGTCCAAATCTGATACTCAGTTCCTCATTGAAGGTGCTTTTGGCAGTAAACAGGTGTCCTCATGGGGACTGTGACCGGACTGCACCTACACTGCCCCATAAGTAGAAAACTGTGCTGCACTTCTTGTTTGAATACCCTGTTTAGCATTATACGCATTAGAATGGTAAAGTTTAGCACTCTATACAGTGGTTTGGTCCAGTTTAGTGCCTATAACTGCTCCCATTTTCAGTGCTGTCATTCAATGAATGTCTATAACTGCTCTCATTCTACTGATGTCAATTGATGAGTGTCTAACTGCTCTTTTTGTACTGATGTTGCTCTTGTCTTACCCAGGTTTCCTTGGAGTCTCTTGTTGAGATCACAGAGGAATTCACAGTGGAATCCTGCCCCCAAGATTTTACACATGCCCAAGTGTCAAGAGTACCGTCTACTGAGGACCAAACTAAGAAAGAAGAAGAGGAAACTGAAGAGACCCCCAAACAAACAACGACAACCCAAAGATCTTTAACAGTTTTCCAACCTGTTCCTCCTCCGCCACAGTGCCAGAAAATAAAAAGGCCATACCGTCCACATCGTGGGCCACTACGTTCAGCTGGTTTGAAGGATATCACTAAATCTCTTGAGGAGACAGAGAAAGAAATGTTCCTGAAGCAGCTACTTGAAATAAAACAAGAAAAAAAGGCTGATAAAAACATCCTACTGCCACCCGCCCTCTACAACATACTGAAGATTCAGCTGGGAAGACCTCCGCAGAAAAAGGATGTGATGTATGATGAGGCAGGCAATGTCCTTTCTGTGCCAAAGCTTGACCCAGCCAGACTTCCAAAGCACCATGTACACCCTCAGGTTATAATGATGGGCCCAACAAAGGAGTCTGATGAAAAAGGAAGAAAACCCTTAGTTAAATCTGGACCATCAACCAGCAAGCATCTAAAAGGGAGCAGGAGAACTATAGAAAAAGACCTTGACCTGTCTTTGAGGGCCTTCCAGCACATTCCTTCTTCCTCAAATTCTGAGAAGCTTGAAGAGTGGCTGTCCAAACCGTACACCTTTTCCAGCAGCACACTAGCTGAGAGTACTAGAACCCCAATCCCACTCTCAGATGGGATCCCTCTGGACACCATGCAGCTGTCCCACGGGGTGATCCTACGAGAGAGCAACAGCACAGAGCGAGGTTCTTTCCACAGCTTGAAGCTGAGGGAGCAGCTGTGGAGAGAAGAAGAAAGGATGTTACAACCTATCCAAGCCTCTGCCACTCTACCTACCATATCTGTAGACCAACTTATCAGGAACCACATCCCTGAGGTGCACCCTGTGCCTCATTTAACATCATATTAACTCACAGTGACTAACATGATGATTGAGACTGACCATGCTGTGGGTGATCACCTCTAGGGGCAGCAAGCTTCTTTTTCAATAAAATCCACCCCTGTTCTTGAAAGGGTTTTAATTTTTCCTATAAAAGCAGGTTTTCATATGCACCGATATTTTACAAGTTATAGTTTTCTGTTTTCTAAAATTTCTTCTACAGCTTTTGCAAACTGTGCTCTCAAATAAAAAAAAAGTAAAATGTCAAAATAAATGAAATACTTGTGGAGCTAAAATGGCTTTAAACAGAGCCGCTTTTTCACTTAACTAGTAAAATGAATAGTCTTGTTTATGTATTCACTGTTTAGTATAGAAATCCTATAATACCTAAATCTTTTATATCCACATTGAGTTAGACTCCTGCTTCATATACAGCATTTCATTACATCAGATTTTGCATTAATACAAGGGAGCTTGCCACTTAAAGGGACACTATAGTCACCAGAACAACTACAACTTGTATTTATTTTGGTGAGTATAATTAGTCCCTTCAGCCTTTTTGCAGTAAACACTTTTTTCCAGAAGAAAATGCAGTGTTTATATTACAGCCTAGGGATTACTACTTGCATAGTGTAATACTATTACAAAGCATATAATCTGTAGCTAAAGGAGTACCGGAATAAGGGGAAATAGAGGAGGAAAGAGGATGGCGGTCACAAAAACAGAAATTAATGAGAAAATAATAATTTTTTAACCTATCTGACAATATTTTAAATAAAGGCCATGAGAAAGTTTTATCAAAAGGTTTTATATTTGCACCCAGTTGCCCAGTAAATAAATTCAATACCTATATAGAAACTGAAAAAGTTTTTTATGAATAATGATTTTAACAAACAAACAATATGTCATGTTAAAGGAGATTTTAAGCATACTTCCATAAAACATTTTTTACATTTTATCCAATCTACTTAAAAACAGACAGTATGAGTCTTCCAAAGAGCCTGCGTAGGGGATATAAGAAAGATCAAAGACCCAACCCAAGATAAAGGAAATCTTAACACATAGAGAAAATATGGCCCTAAAAGATATAAACATTATAATTAAACCAGCCAACAAGGGTGGAGGGGTTGGGATTATAAAAATAAATTTGTTACATAAATGATATATACCGTCAATTGGATGAGAAAGACACAAGCCTAGCTGTTAATCCTTCTAAGAATATCAATTTCTCATTCTGGACTCCCCAAGAATACCAGTGTACTACACATCGCCAAAAATTTATAAAGCTCCTATGCACCCACCGGGGAGACCTATAGTCTCCGGTGTACAGCCGCTATTTTCGCCCCAATCAAATATATCGATATCCAGTTACAGGATTTAGTCAAGAAATGCTCTTCATATTTAAAGGACACTATATCCTTGAAGGCATCAAAATGATACTTTTTGACAAGATTTTTTGGTTTGAGGGTGACTACTATATCCAATGCAGAGGCACAGCAATGGGGACCAGGTTCGCCACCAGCTATGCTAAATTATAGACTAGTATTTTTTAGCGCTAGCAGTGAAACTCAGTTAACTCCTACTACTATATGTGCTCTTGAAGGCATAGAACTGCTCTAATACAAAGCTGCTATGTTCTTCCTCTCATAGCACGTACATAATGTGTAACTGTGACAGCTACACAATGCTTAACCTTGGTGAAGGCACAGATCAGCTAAACAATAGTATCACTCTATACTTTACAGCTAAATACTCAGCAGCTTTATTCACCCCTTTTTAAACCACCTCCATACTGCTCAATAGTTACAGCTAGATTCTGTTTGCCTTAGGCAAACACATGTGCCCTTGAAGGCACAGATCAGCTAAACATTTACAGCAGTATCAACCTATACTCAAGCAGGACACTAGTGACCCAGGATACCTATAAGAGATAGCAATTTCAACCTCTATAGACTCCCAACAGGAGCCATAGAAATCGCAGTTCATACTGTTGGCTTATTGGTTTGCCGACTCCTTACCACTCTCGCTCTCCTGCCTCACCAGAATACGTTGGTGCTTTATTGATCTATCAATACTTAGCCCTTGTGAGGACTCTCCTGTACATATTTCTAGTAGCCATATTCCAAGCTTGAGCACGGTTTAGCCGAGGGTTTCCCTTGACATCCATAGCAACCAAGACAATTTGATACAATATATTTCTTTAGTGACTCTTCTGATTTATACCATTGCTACTCAGCTCCAGTGCTATCATCTGTACATATGTATATTTCACTTTTCTTTTTGTTTAACCCTGTATATACTGTGTGATTAATCACTCGTCAATTTAGTTAGCCTCTTTATTATTTTTTCTAGTGTGGTTATACTGCCACCTGCTGGCAATATTATAACCAATTTTATTTACTGCTATAATAAAAGTTAAACTTTATCTAAGTATACGGCCAGAAACTTTGTTTCTCCTTCTTTTCAAGTTACTTACTCCAGGGTTCATGCCCTATTTTCTCAGCCCACAGACTTCTTCCTGATTCTCCCACCCCTTCTTTTCCTGGCCAAAATTAGAAATTGCTAGAGATCTGCACTTCTTAATTATAAGACCAAACCAGAACTAACACAGAACTAAGAAGTTCCTATGATCTTAGATTTCAATACTAACGCAAGAGATCTAAGAAACATTTTCGATAAACACTGGCATATTTTACAACAGGATAGTGATTTAAGAATTTATCTCGGCACAAAACCAAAAGTTATATTTAGAGGTGCCCAAAATCTAAAACAAATCCTCACTATGAGTTTTCTAGAAAAAGAAAAAAAGAGTGATTTTTTTTTTTATCTAAAGCTAATAGTACATAAAAAGGTTTTTGTTTTTTTACTATGGTGATTGTATGGGGTGCAAAGTTAAAAAGAACAAAGAAAGAAAGATGGATAGGTTTTATTCTTATAGTACTACAAAGAAGTTTTTTTTATCAATTCATTTATTACCTGCAATATGAAAAATGTAGTATATGTTCTCGTATGCCCATGTGGTCTCCAATATGTGGGGAAAACATCTAGGCCCCTTAAGATTAGGAAATGAGAACAAATATATAATATCAAAAGAGGATATGCTAATCATAGCGTATCCCTACATTGTTTAGAGAATCACGATAAAAAAACTGACTTTCTTTTATTTTTTGGAGTCCAACATATTTTAGGCCATTGGAGAGGTAACAGTATCCCATCTAATCTTAACAAAAATTAAATGAAATTGATTTTTAACTTGGATACTATGGCCCTCAATGGTCCTAACATAGATTGGGAATCCATCACATTAATTTAATATATTTATAATTATTCACTTTTTTCCATCTCATCTTTCCATATTTTTTTATGGTCTTTTTTTTTTTTTGAATATTTTTTTTTTTTTTAATGTATATCGGTTTTTTATATAGATCAATTTTAATTCAAATTTTTATTAATATATTAAATTTTTTATTAATAAACCAAGTTTTTACTTCATTTAAGATATCTTTCTTCCTATGTTTATAGCTGAGTTCAAGTACATACATACTATTTAATTAGTTTTAAACATTAAGTTAATTAATATTTTAGTTTTTTGTATTACTTTTATGATGGTTCTGCGTTCAATTGGAAAGCACATAATATGCATGGGATTTTGTTTATATACATGGACTGACTAGCGAATATCGTTATGACAACCAATACGAAAAGTGCGCAACACCGGGAGTACGCCCGACCAGAAGTGAGATTTGGAACGCAAGAACGTCCAACCGGAAGTGAAATTTGGAAAACAAGAACGAACGTCTTCATTTCCGGAACTGCGGCATGCTGTTTAGACACCGGAGATTGGCGCCAATTACAATTTCCTGTTGTATGATATAAATGTGATAACATGTATTTGACTATTTATACACTTGAGAAAGACGATCTACATCGAAACGTGTTGTGTTTTATTTTTCCTTCTTTTAAAATAATGTCCTGTTTATTCAACTGCTGCATCCTGGAGATTCCTTACCTGGGTCTGCTTGATAGCTGTTCATGGTGGACACATTTTATCTATATGCCTACACAGCCGGTGTTCTATCAGTCTGGTATACTCCGTCAGATTGCTATACCCACGTCACTTCCGGGGAGGGGAATCAGCTGTCTCCTGTGCTGCACATGCGTGCTAGCACTCCTGCTACTCCTCCACAGCAAGGTCCTGGAAGGTAAGTAAAACTAGTTTTACACTTTCATTATAGTTAGTGCATTCACTAAGCTTAGGCACACGGGACATTTAGGGTTAAGTGAGCGTACAAATTATTGTTAGGTAAGTGATTCTAACCTCTCTCACACTCTATTCTTACCCTAACCCTTGGGGTAAGGGTTAAAATAAAGTGTGAGAAATCACTATTTAGTGATATTCCCCTAAAGTGAAATATCACTAAATAGGAACAAGTCCCTAATCCTAACCCTAATTTGAACCCTAACATTAACCCTAAATGTCCCATGTCCTAAGCTTAGTGAATGCACTAACTATAATGAAAGTGTAAAACTAGTTTTACTTACCTTCCAGGACCTTGCTGTGGAGGAGTAGCAGGAGTGCTAGCACGCATGTGCAGCACAGGAGACAGCTGATTCCCCTCCCCGGAAGTGACGTGGGTATAGCAATCTGACGGGGTATACCAAACTGATAGAACACCGGCACCTGCTATAAGTGGCTCTGTTAAATGTGAGTAGTTCTGAGTGGCTCTTGCTACAGATTATATGCTTTATAATAGTATTACACTATGCGAGTATCCCAATTTATGTCTCCTATATAGAATTGTATTTCCTGTAGGAGTAACAGAATTCAATCACTGTATTGTGTATTTCACTTCCAGAAACAGAATCAGAAACAAAAACAAACAAAATCCCTTCAAACTAAATCCTATACATCCCCCATTTTTACCCTTACACCAATCAGCAAACAGTATTTACAGCATTACCTTATATGGATAGGCAGTATGGCACTTGAGGAGAATGGAATGTGGTTTTTCAAATCCAGCACATGCTCAGTACATTGATGACAATATCTTAGCTACACGTAACTAACAGATACCTGTACTTGTATATGCCACATGGAGATTTTAGGCCTACTAAATTTTGGGCGTAGCTGAAATCCCATCACAACATAAATTAATGTTTAGATATGGGCCCCTGGGGCTGTGCATTTGGAGAGTAGGGTGGCAGGTGCTCCACTCGTCAGGTTACAGGTAACTGTGTGAAATAAAGGTCCAGGCCAGGAGTTAAGACTGACTCCAACCCATTGCTCAACTGAAAGTAATTAGCAGCAGTTGAGCAAATAAATCCCTCCTTGCCCGGCAGATAAGAGACTTTTGGGTTATCTTGTGAGAGTTAAAATCAGCAGGCTAAGCTGCAAGTGAGATTTGGAGTGTAACAGACTGATATCCTGCAAAGTCAGTGAAACTTGTTTAGTTTAGTTTAACCCTTGACAGTTAGGGATATATATATATATATATATATATATATATATATATATATATATATATATATATACGAAACAAGGGGGGTTGGCTGCACTCACCTGAACATGCATAAATGGGGGTGCTGCTGGGGGCCAAATAATACAAAACACAAGATCCAGCGCACTCACCTATCCACTAAACGGCAACTTCAATGTTGAAAGATTTTATTTGTTTTTTTTTTTTAAAAACACCTAATCTAGGCAAAAATAATGGGGGTTTAGTTACATTATATGATCATACATTGCATAAGCCTGCCACAACGTCAATGTACCCCATCTTTGGCAGGTCCTACACTAACAGCCTAATGTCTGCTCTTATGAGATTAACCACTTACTTGAGGAAAAAAATTCCATCTGGGGCTCTCTGCAGTATAAGGCTAAATAGGGCCCTGGGATGAGGCACCTGTGACAGGGAGGGGTGCAAAACCAAGGAGTTGGCTAGACTCCCAAATATATAAATATAAATACAAAACACAAGATCCAGCGCACTCACCTATCCACTAAACAAATAAAATCTTTCAACATTGAAGTTGCCATTTAGTGGATAGGTGAGTGCGCTGGATCTTGTGTTTTGTATTATTTGGCCCCCAGTAGCACCCCCATTTATGCATGTTCAGGTGAGTGCAGCCAACCCCCCCTTGTTTCATATTTATATATTTGGGAGTCTAGCCAACTCCTTGGTTTTGCACCCCTCCCTGTCACAGGTGCCTCATCCCAGGGCCCTATTTAGCCTTGTACTGTAGAGAGCCCCAGATGGAATTTTTTCCTCAAGTAAGTGGTTAAGCTCATAAGAGCAGACATTAGGCTGTTAGTGTAGGACCTGCCAAAGATGGGGTACATTGACGTTGTGGCAGGCTTATGCAATGTATGATCATATAATGCAACTAAACCCCCATTATTTTTGCCTAGATTAGGTGTTTTTAAAAAAACTAATAAAATCTTTCAACATTGAAGTTGCCGTTTAGTGGATAGGTGAGTGCGCTGGATCTTGTGTTTTGTATTATTTGGCCCCAGCAGCACCCCCATTTATGCATGTTCAGGTGAGTGCAGCCAACCCCCCCTTGTTTCGTATTTATATATATATATATATATATATATATATATATATCCCTAACTGTCAAGGGTTAAACTAAACTAAACAAATTTCACTGACTTTGCAGGATATCAGTCTGTTACACTCCAAATCTCACTTGCAGCTTAGCCTGCTGATTTTAACTCTCACAAGATAACCCAAAAGTCTCTTATCTGCCGGGCAAGGAGGGATTTATTTGCTCAACTGCTGCTAATTACTTTCAGTTGAGCAATGGGTTGGAGTCAGTCTTAACTCCTGGCCTGGACCTTTATTTCACACAGTTACCTGTAACCTGACGAGTGGAGCACCTGCCACCCTACTCTCCAAATGCACAGCCCCAGGGGCCCATATCTAAACATTAATTTATGTTGTGATGGGATTTCAGCTACGCCCAAAATTTAGTAGGCCTAAAATCTCCATGTGGCATATACAAGTACAGGTATCTGTTAGTTACGTGTAGCTAAGATATTGTCATCAATGTACTGAGCATGTGCTGGATTTGAAAAACCACATTCCATTCTCCTCAAGTGCCATACTGCCTATCCATATAAGGTAATGCTGTAAATACTGTTTGCTGATTGGTGTAAGGGTAAAAATGGGGGATGTATAGTCTTTAAAAAGCCTGTACTCCATGTGCTCAGGGCTCAGACATTTTGAACAGGAGTTCAGCTGAGACCCGATCGGTGAGTGAGAATAAAGACCTTTGCTTCCTGAACTGACCTGTGTCCGGACTCTCTGTGCGTGCCTTCTTCAGAGTTCCACTATAACATATCTGGTGCAATTGGCCGGGAAGTCATCACAGAGACCGCCAAATCACGGTAAAAATTTTTACTCACCTCTCCACGGCAACACCCCTGGACCAATACTGTGTGGACTTCCTTTTGTCTCGGCGTCATTGGGCCTTCTTCGTCCAAGAGACCATAGGCTTCTGAGCGGTGGGTATTGGGGTGTCCAATCGATGACTTCCGATCCCAGGTCCAGAAAATGAAGGTAAACCTATTAGGGGGTTAAATCTGGTATCTGACTTTTCCCATTGGAAAGAAGAGGGGGCTTATCACCTTCTTAAGCTAAACGCTCTGTAGCTAGCCCGTTTAGCATAGGGTCTGTTTGTCCAGCTGAATTCTGGTGTATATATGTTCAGTCGGATTCTGGACTAGTTGAACTCTGTTGTAAATTCCGTTCACTAGATAGCGGATTCTGGAGCGAGTAGACTAGCCAAATACTGTTGTAAATTCAGTTCGCTAGATCTCGAAGTGTGGAGCTATTTGATTAACTGAACTCCTGTTCAATTTAGAACATTGTCTCCAAAAATATTGTTTAGTTAAACCCTGATGTGTATATATATTGTTTAGCTAGATTCTGGTGTAAATATTGCCTAGCTAAGTTCCGGTTTATAATGTGTATGTCTTGCTAAATTTTGATGTATATTCTGTTTAGTGGACTTTTGAAGTGTAAATAGTGTTTAATTACGCACAACACCATAACTACTGACACCATAACCACCGACACCATAACCACTGACTATTGATACAGGGTTGTAGTAATATTGGGCGATCGGGTGGTTTAGACGTTGATTAACTGTATAGATAATTGTATAGCTT